ATCTCGGCAAATGTGATAATATGTCGACATAATTTAAAAGTTATGTCGACATCTTCTCCGATTATGTCGACATATTCTCAGATTATGTCGACATCTTTCATTAATTATGTCGACATACGTAACTCGTAACTCGCAAGTGGATGGCAGAAATATGCCACCATAGATTTCACTTCTCTACACATATCACTTATGATCGAAATGCACAAACAACGTGTTACTGGTGTTGGTATGTCATATTGCTGTGTCAAGGCTGGCTGTATAGTGAGATGGTACTTTAGGTACCCCTTGAGAGGCCCTCATCAGGACACGCTCAACAAACTTCAAGCTGATCGACAAAGATTCACAGACCTGCTGTCAACAAACCACTTCCATTATTATTCAAGTGTCCTTTGCAAATTAGGTTATCTATTTTTATACATGACTTCAGACAGGGCAAGCTTGTTGGACCAAACTGAACATAAATAACCAAACATATGATTGAATTGAAATTGGCCGTTTAATTTGTATAAACGACAATTGAAAATATTTCCAAAACAAAAACCAATATGGAACATGTACATAAAATAGTAGCTTCCAACTCCAGTCACCTATCCTAACATTCTGATATTTAACTTGTAACACAGTATACAATTAAGCTACCTTGACCCTATGCCCAGGATAGCTTAGCAACATATTATAAACGGTAATTAAAAAATATATGAACACCGGTATTGTACCAACAACAATAAAGTAATGGAAAAATAAATGTACAGCATGAAAAAATGTCAGCAACCTCAACCCTATGCCCAGGTTATCCTTCCTATTGTACATCATTAAAGCCATTGATATATAACTTGTAACACAGTATACAATGAAGCTACCTCGACCCTATGCCCAGGATAGCTAAGTAACATATTATAAACGGTAATTAAAAAATATATGAACACCGGTATTGTACCAACAACAATAAAGTAATGGAAAAATAAATGTACAGCATGGAAAAATGTCAGCAACCTCAACCCTATGCCCAGGTTATCCTTCCTATTGTACATCATTAAAGCCATTGATATATAACTTGTAACATAGTATACAATTAAGCTACCTCGACCCTATGCCCAGGATACCTTAGTAACATATTATAAATGATAATTAAAAAATATTTGAACACCAGTATCGTTCTAACAACAATAAATTAATGAAAAATTAAATGTACAATATGAAGAATGTCAGCATCCTCGACCCTATGCCCAGGTTATCCTTCCTATTGTACATAAGCCATGTGGTTATGGTTAGCATATTGATGTAAACATGTACCTTACGACCAGGTTATGTAACCCATCGTATTGCTACTATGACCCGTATATTTAAGATGTGTAAGCTGCCAAAAATCGACCCTATGCCTAACCTAACAGCTATTGTATAGCACTGGGTAGATCAAACAAAGTAGGTAAGCGAATGTAACGTTTGAAAGCAAGATATTTCCACCTACCCATATGCTGAATTTCTTCGTCCGAGACCCCCGTAGCAGCCGCTGTGCTGGCTGCCCCTATTCGAAAACTGTGACTAATGTACCGCTGTAGTTGAAAACCCGCCCATATGAGAGAATTGCGTAGGCAAGAAGGGAAGAATTGGTATGAGACGTGAATATTGCCAGGCAAGGTGAACAGGGGACCTGGTAAGGTACCGCGGGGTTGGGTATACTGATGTACAGCAGCGACTGGGCAGGTGGAAAGCTCATTCTGTTTAGCATGAATGGCCAGAACAACAGGGCGAATGTTGTAATTGCCCTTAAAGGACTTAAACGTTAATTCCAATGATGCTGGCTTTGAACCAGTCATAGAGATTTGAATGTCCTCAAACTGCAAAAGATGTGCTTTTGATTTGGTTAGGGCGATTTCCCCTACCCGTAAAAAAGAATGAAAGGCAAATAGGTCCATGGCTTTTAGCATACAGGCTTGATAGTGGGAAACAGCTGTATGAGGTAATGACTGAACAAGTTTTTGTAAAATTGATGGTGTAATAGGTAACCTGGAGTCGGGACGGTATGAACCCCTTTGGATTGCAGTTACCAACTTTTTAACTGCACAGTATTTTCAGGGTTAGTCGTTCGAACAATTTTCCCATTGCTCGCACGTGGATACAACTTCGAGTCTACCTGCAGTGGCCTCTCGATTTTATCCTGGCGCTCGCAATGAGAAAATTGTTCTCACGACAAACCCTTAAAGCACAGTGATATAATCTATAACTATCTATTTTAATATACTTAACGTAACCGTTAATGATATCGTTGTTTGCAGGAATCATAAATATGAAGAATTCATAAAGGCATAATACCGAAGAGTGCACTCCAATTTGATATTAATATATGATTTTTATAAGTATTTGAATCTTCGGAATATTTTATCTATAGTTTGCTTGCAAGAAATATTACAGAGGAATTATCGTTATCAAGATCTCAGTGATAACATAACTTTGTTCATAAGCTTAAATGACTTCTTCTGAAGAAATGATTGGCCTAGGGTGATCATGTCTGGCAAGTACCTTGCTACAACGTCAATTATAAATTTTGCGAAAAGAAATAACCTAAACTTGTAATCGAGGTCACAGAGGTCAAATTGGTTAAGAAATCATTGACTTCTCCTTAAAAACAGAAGAGCATAGATTCATGATAGTTTGCCATTGGGTTGCAATTTTTTTCTGAAAAACAAAGGGTCAGATGATCCAGATATTTGGCCTGTAGTATGCTAGGATAAAAGGCTTTCAAGTTTGTTTGAATACATAACCTCGACTAACTCTGAAAGTCCCAAAGGAAAAAAAATTTAAATCCTCCAATAACGACTTTCGATTTTTTGAGTAATGATAATTTTCCTATTTTTTTCAGATAAATGTATCTTTGACCCACTTTTAAGGTCATATAAGTGAAATGTGCTTTTGGACAGCATCTAGTTACTTGTAAGAAATACATGAGCATTGGACCTTTAGTTATACATGTTTGCTAACATTTTGGCTTGATTGGCATTGCTTGTATTTGGCCTTCAGTGTCACCGTTTACTTGTATAGTTATTACCCCTAAAACTACGATAACCATCGTCGCTAAAAGTTACTAATATGACAAAACAACTCCTTAAGTGAGCCTCGATGTTTTACTCCAAAATCCTCGTACAGTCGAATTTAGAGTGGGATTCTTTCGTCGGAATCGCAAAGTCGTTGTTAGAAAGGCAAACTGAAATTAATAGAAAATATATCATTATTTGACGTAAATATTAATTTAGAAAACTTCTGAAAGTTATTTTGATCAATAAGATCTCAAACAATATTTGTCGTATATACAGTTATACTTTAACCTTCAGATTATACAAGAAACTAGAACGATATCTATTATATTTCAACTTAACAAAGGCTCATAGTAAGTATAAAAGAGACACAATTTAGGAAACACTTTACTGTTTCAAAACATTCAACATAATCTCCAGCTGTCAAACAATTTCATGCTTCCCATAATCGTTAATCTTTAATTCTTATTTTATTTTCAAAAAAATAATTTTCAATTTCATAATGATGATGATCTACCTATTTATTAAGTGAGCTTAGATTAATATTAATAAGCATTGTCACTGCCTTTTCTGCATAACATATTTTCACCTTCGATGAAGAGGTTTTGTTGTTAGGTTTCCACTCCTAATAGACAAATTATATATTTCTAAACATAATTCATGGTTTTTGTATCATTACTAAAAGGAAACGACAAATGACTATGAGAGGCAAAACTTGTCTGCTTGATTTGCGTTCACCTGGCGTCCAAAAGACCAACCGTCCAGACGGAGGCATTGCATGTTTTGGATAGTGTTAAATACCTGCGAGGTACTCTCCGTGGTACGAACTTATTCAAAAACAGAACACTCCCATCGTGTTTACCTGTGAATACCTGCACTTTTCCAATGCGTTTTGTTCGGGGTGTCTGTCTATAATAATATGGTTTTAAGCGATATACTCATAAGTACTAATTTTCCATAGCGTTTGGAATTCAAATTCATCTTTCATATTCATATTCAACAAAACATCCGAAGCAGTTTATAACTACCTAAAAGTGTGGAAATGGCACTTGAAGATTTTCATTTCTCTATTATTTACATGGTTATTATTATTATTTTTATCAACGTTTTGCTTGCTACACAAACAATGTATGTATCAAACGTGATGCAATTTGTTTATTTCATTCATTAGGTTATGTTATCTATTAATATTATTTATACACGTATTTATTTATTTTAATCTCTTCGAATTTTGCCTCATTCTTACTTCTTTTTCGGTATCCTTTCACTTGTAGTATCTTTTGCAGGAATGGCAGCAGACGTTTCCGAAGTGAATTGAGAAACACATTTGTCTTTTGCTGCCCTTGAACGCCGAATACACGATGTGACTGCAGTCACTCTGTGACAACTTGTCCTACTTACAGGGTTCTAATTCGCCATCCTCGGGGTATTAACCTTTACCCTGGTAAGCTGGTAAGAAAATAAAAATAAAATAAACAAAATGAGTTGTACTTGATATCAGTAACAGAAGTTAAATGTCCCTTTGGTGAGTCGTCAGTCAGTTTGATATTTGTTAACATTACCAGTGTTTACTAATATTCACTATATTAACCTTGTCGTGCAAATGGGACATATACAGTTTTCCTTATTGTTGCGGTTCCTAATTTTCGCACAATTGCTAACAATTTTTCTGCACCATATGAAAATTTCGTCTTTGTAACCTTACAATATTACAAATTTTGACTACAACAGACAATTTATAAATTTTTCCGTGCCAGAATATATTCCAGTTACACGGATTTTTTTTTAACCTTTTACCTTCATGACCACTGATGAATCCTAATTGGACGAAATTACCATATGGAGCAGCAGTATATTTACTTTGTTTGGCTCTCCGCTTCTACAACCACACAGCCTAAAGGCTAGAATTTATGAATATATTTACATAATGGGAGTGTTGTTGAGAAGCATAAACAACAATAGATTTACCAAGGTCTCTTCGTTCTCTATTGGCTAGTCCCTTAGCTTCGGCGGAGGCACAATACAGACAACAGGAAACCATGTTGTCGGGGTTTGCACAGAAAATGTGTGGCATCCCTCCATGCTTGTAAAATTTACTCAACATCATTCTGTGACACGTCGATTCGCCGATTCTATCTTCACACTTCATGGTTTTACCTTCGCTGCTGTCACGCCTCTTACGGAGAGGAGCGTCATTCACGTTCATGTCTTGAATCAAACTCTCGGAATCCACGTTGTCAAAGATTTCCTTTGCCCATTGATTGGACATGCCATTAGGTGCAAATTTCGCGCTTTGAAAATCCATACTGCCGCCAAATCTTTTGAGCACATTATTTATTAGTCCATTGCCAAAGCCATCGTCGCCTTTACCATCGTTACCAAAGCCGTTGCCAATACCTTTGACAATATTGCCTATCCTATCGTCAAAGCCACCGCTGCCACCATTGCCGCGATTGCCACCGTTGCCGCCACCATTGCCGCCGTCATTACCGCCACCATTGCCTCCGCCATTACCGCCACCATTGCCGCCGCCATTGCCACCACCATTACCGCCGCCATTTCCACCACCATTGCGGCCCCCATTTCCTCCATAACCTGAAACCAATAAAAAAACCAATTTGTATCTAAGGTTTTCAAATCTATACAACACTTAAATATGTACCTCAAGAAAGCTTAATAAAGTGTCAATGGTTTTGAATAATTCATTTCCCATGACTGTTGAAATATTGACATGGTTTGGTATCCAGCCAAAAATGATACAAACATGTTGACGTTTATCATTTTGGTATTTACTAGGTCCAATGTTATGATATTTAGTAGAATATAAAATATATACAAATGAGATGACGGTCCGACTACAATATACTCCCTATAATTCCTTTTGTACAAAAAAAGTATTATCTTATTATTATTGATAAGATTTCTCGCTACATTTCAACAGGCAATCAAAAGTGATATGGTAAAACTAGGACATAAGGGAAACCTCTTTATTATACAATGTGTGTATTGCTACTTATTGGTGTATTATTTGGTAGAGAATAATAATGCGTATTCTTGCTCTGTGTGTATGTAGTGTTGGCCATTGCAAGTTGTGTATCATATCTGTGACTAAGCTTGTGTTATGATATTTGTTTAATACGTATCATGCTGCTCTTCATTGTACTTTTCCTATTTGATTTATGTTATTTGTATAATGAGGGTCCCAAACTGAAGAGCAGTATTGTAAGTTTTAAGTTTTAACACGCAGTAAGTTTTGGTCTTACAATGGCCTTGTGTGCATGTCCTTTTATGTGTATATGATAGTAAATATACAAATCATATTAGTGTGTCCATCATCTGTGGTTCAGCAACCAAGCCGTTTGCAGTATTGCTGTAAATGTAACATACCGTACTCATAATACGAGTCAAATAGCGTCAGTGTAATGGTAGTAACGAAATTACCGGTAGTCAATTAATTGGAATCTATTCAGTAATATTCAAGAAGAAATGTTGTCCTGGTCGTTTTTTGGAAAAACAAAAACCTCAAGTAACAGGTAGCATGTCGTCTATTTAGGGCTCACACTTGTTACTAGAGGATGGACATGTCTGCCCAAAGTGTTCCGAAACATATGTGGTGTTGAAAAAGTGAATGAGGAGGGTTAAAACAAAACTCGTTCATACAGTGACTGTTGTATACAGTATTTAAAAGAACCCTAATGTAAATATGCTTGATAGATTGCCAGAAACAGCTTGGAGCAGATATCATTGAGGAGGAGAAACGAAGTGTGCTGATATAACGTTTTTCAAGGAAATGACAGATACGTCATTCTAGACAAGATATATGTAACATACCGTACTAAAAGTCATCTTGAAATGAAAAGAAAAGAACAGTATTCAAGCCTTTTTTTTTAATATAAACAAGGTAAGCAAACATTATAAATGTTACGCTCTGTACATAATATATCAGATATATAAGAACAAACCTCGGTGAGTTTTCAGAAGACTTACTTTCTTGATGTGAACGAAAACCGCTGATTTCCCAAATAATGAACTTATGATTTTCTCCCCTGTTTAGAATCGCTTCAACGTCATCAAGTGTTTGTAGGCGGTTAACATTTCTTCGATATAACTGATATATGGATTTTGTAATTACGGACAGTCCCCAATCCAAGCACAGATTGGCCGTTTATATCCCTCAAGACGCCATATGAGCTACATTTATGAAAATTATATTTCCCTTCTTTTTATATTGTATTTCGAAACAAATTGATCATTGGATTGGAATGGGGTGATCAAACTGTAGGAAAACATTTAAAAAATCTTATTTGTTTAACAAGTCACCGTTTTCTTCTATCAAAATCCCGATGAAACAAATAACACTATATACCACAGGGACATGCTAATTTGTTACAGCCAATGCGGACCTAGACTAAGGTGTTCAGAGTTCAGATCAACTCTTGGGGTGGCATTTTTACCGAAAGTTGATCTGCTCAAACGTGTAAAACTACTCTGAACACCTTAGCTTAGGGCGAATTGTAGTTGTAACAAATTATCAGGTTACTGTGGGTTTATGTCGTGTCGTCACAAGTTGGTCTATACTGAATGTTCTGTCGATATTGGTTGGTCTAAAATTGTTTTATTCTTATCATTGGTCTACAATGAAAGTGACGTCCTATTGGATTTGATATCGTTACACATACAATCGTATTTAGTTTGTTAAATACCGACATGTTCTTGCCACCGGTTGGTCAACATTTGATAAATTTCTTTGAAATGTCAGCATTTGAATGTGTCGCTTTCACCACAGGGGCATGGATTGTTTTACTTTTAATATTAAACAATAAGAATCTCCTATACTAATATTTATTAGTATAGGAGACCCCTATTTTTTAATATTACAAGTAAAGCGATCCATGCCCCTGTGGCTTTCACTGATTGGTCGACTATGAATTGATTTCTGTGATAAGTCATACAATTTAAAGGCCGTGTCGGCACCAGCAGCCATCATCACATCAATTTAATAATCCAAGCTCTGTTGTAGGATACTCGGCTGAATACGGATGGTCCATCCAAACAATCCTTGTTTCCCCAGGACGTAATGCCGACCTGAACCCATCTTCCAGCCTCGATCTCACATTGTAAGGGACCGCCACTGTCGCCCTGAAAGTCAAAGTCAAATACTGATTTCCACTTTTTGTCTGAAGTACGTGTGAAGCTCATGCTTCTGAAACAACGAGTTACGCGTTTGTTTCGTTTGTGTTTAACGTCTTCATAATAGCTATGGTAATTTAAGGACGTTCTCGGTTTTGGAGGTGAAGGTAAACCGGATTGCCCGGCGAAAAACGACCTAGTTGCGACCAGTACCTAGCTAGGCCTTGAACACACGACCTAGTGGTGAAGATAAGTAAAGAAGCGATTCTCCGTGTTGAAGTATTGGAAGGATAAATAATGAAATTGAAATATTTCGCTATTATGGGTAATGGATATTATTCATCAGACTTCAGACATAACAAGATGGAGATATAGTACGTTTAAGTCGTGTCAATGCCTTGAAGTAAGACATGTTTTGCATACTAAAAAGGAAAAGGAAGTGGAAGTCCATGAGGCCGCTTAATGTTTCAGAATCGCTCAGAACACTGTTTTCATTGTTAGTATTCTTTTGTTAATTTCACCTCACTTGAAAATTCATAAAAGTCCTGCAAAGTAAAGATTTCTTTTCAGGAATGGTTTATCAAAGCTATAGCCTTACATCGTTACAGTTTTTAACGGTGGTACAGGGATCCTTAAAAATGCTAAAAATAACCAAGACCCACGTGACACGTGTCCTTCGTCGGATCGTCAGTACATATCATGTCGTCGGTTACTTGGTCACTAAGCCCTTTCTGGCACTCGTCGTTAGAGATGACAGATACCGCCGCCTGCTGGAGAATGGTGTTAGCTGTCATAGACTCTGTAAATAAAGTACTAACGATCAACATCAACATTTAGACCAATGAGACAGTTGAAACATCTACTTTTAGAGCCAATGGGACACTGGGATCAACTCCATTAAGAACCATTAGGACACTGAGACCAACTTCATTAAGAGCTAACGGAACACTTGTACGTACTTCTTTAAGAGCAAATGGGCACCAGGACCAACTTCATTAAGAGAGACAATAGGACACTTGTACCAACTTCATTAATAGACAGTGGAACACTTGTACCAACTTCATTAAGAGCCAATTGGCACTAGGACCAACTTCATTAAGAGAGACAATAGGACACTTGCACCAACTTCATTAAGAGCCAGTGGAACACTTGTACCAACTTCATAAAGAGCCAATTGGCACTAGGACCAACTTCATTAAGAGAGACAATAGGACACTTGTACCAACTTAATTAAGAGAGCCAATAGGACACTTGTATCAACTTCATTAAGAGCCAATGTAACACTTGTACCAACTTCATTAAGAGCCAATGGGCACTAGGACCAACTTCATTAAGAGAGACAATAGGACACTTGTATTAACTTTATTAAGAGAGATAATAGGACACTAGGACCAACTTTATTAAGAGAGCCAATATGACATTTGTACCAACTTTATTAAGAGAGAAAATATGACACTTGTACCAACGTTATGAAGAGAGCCAATAGGACACCTGTACCAACTTCATTAAGAGCCAATGAGCACTAGGACCAACTCCATTAAGAGAGACAATGGGACACCTGTATCAACTTCATTAAGAGCCAGTGGAACACTTGTATCAACTTCATTAAGAGCCAATGGGCACTAGTAACAACTTCATTAAGAGAGCCAATATGATACTTGACCAACTTTATTAAGAGAGACAATAGGACACTTGTACCAACTTTATTAAGAGAGACAATAGGACACTAAGACCAACTTCATTGAGAGAGCCAATGGGACACTTGGAACAACTACATTAAGAGCCAATGGAACACCGGGAATAACTACATAGAGTCATTGAAACGTTGGGATCTCAATATGAGCCAGCAAAACAATGGGAACAACAAGATTTAAAGCCAACGAAACGCTGCGAAGACGACATTAAGAGCCAATGAAACACTGACAATAGCTATATTAAGAGCCAGTGGAATATTGGAAGCATCAGTTGGCCACTGGAAACAACAACACAAACAACCAATTTGACGCGGGGAACAGCTATTAGAATGAAAGTCCCATCAGACAGTCGAACAATTTACAGGAACAAAAGAAACCATGAAAAAACGTTGAATCCCATGGAACAACTAAATTACACCGGGGACCTGCCGGATCAGGATAGTTCAGGTATTGGCTTACTAAACAATGTACACTATTTATACTAGGATTACATTTTGTGAAGTTTATGAAATGATAATCCATGTATTTTATTGATGCACGTAGTAGAATAATTGTCATTTACCTCCTATGTGGCGGAGGCCCCACCCTGTTATGTAACATGTGTACGATGACACATCCATGGCGGACGTGGCTAGCTCTATGGGCTGGATGTATGTTCCGAAGGCGACTGGCTTTTTAAGTTTCAGAATGGCCACATCATTAATTAAAGTTGTTTTGTTATAGTCCGGATGCTAGAACGAATAGTTGAATTGGAATCATCACAGCACAAATTGTAAAACAAAAACCACCACAACACCACAACTTCAAACTAATAACTGAGAGTTCTTGCTGCTCCATGACTTCAAGTCCGCCTTTTAAAAAAAAAACCAGATAGATTCGTCAACAAATGATTAAGTTGGAAATTCTAGATGAAAAAACATCTTAATTTCGTACTAGAAAACGAAGTGTATTATAACGCACACGTTACAATATTTAATTATTTGTTTTCCCAGTTTCGTTCTGTTCTGATGAGATTAATTCTGTTTTGTTGTGTCGATATTATTTAGTAGTTTTAGTAGAACTTCAGTTTTAGCGATGTTGTTGATAATGATGATGGTGATGGTGGAAACAAACTTTAATTATTTATTGTATTGTGCTATCAAATATTTAAGTTTGCGACGAAAATGAGTCGCCTCACTTTAAATGTTAAATCGAGAATGGGTATTGTGCTTGTGTTAGAAAAAATATATAATTAGATTTGACATACGAAAGTTATTCGTATAACTCAAAATTTCGTTTGTTGAAAAAGTTTATCCGGAACTGAAGGAAGCTTTCTTAATACATACTACTTACGATGTAAACCTTCTTCACTTTGACTGACAGTTCTGTTCTCTCTAGTTCGGATGCACGTCTGTTGTAGTCTGCAACATTGACCCGGAACAGGTTGGCCCTGATAACAAATAGTATTTTCAGGTATGCTATTTACATGAAAATGCACAATTTGAAATTAATTAATTGTCTGTTAATATTTTGACATTTTTCCTATAAAAAGCTTTCTATTAAGATAAAGAAACACCAATATCTTATATAAGGCGTTCTCCATAGCGTTAAGCGTATAATTTACACTAAGGTTTACAACAAATATCTATCAAGCAGAAGGAACGTTTCTAAGGGGTTGTCTGACGATGACGCGAGATTCATATGTTTTAAGAGCCTTTCTGAATCTGTTAAAATGTGGATGCCCTCTTTGTAGGGCCCATCACAGGTTGTGTAAGAACCTACCGTCGTTTGATGATGCAATGCGCGGCTGTTAAGACGGTATTTCCGTTGAGCAGCGTGCCCCCGCACATAAACCTGTGCATGTATTTGACAGATACTTGCCAGGGCCAGGCGCTGTCTGCAGCGTTTGTTCCTCCAATGATTGCAACAAGATCATGGCTGCCATCTACTTTGTCGTCTATCGAAACGAAAACGATTTTTTTAAACCTTAGCAGGAGCTTCCAAAGGGACCTGATAATTGGTTACACCTATCTTTTGACCTAAACTGGTGTTCAGAGTAATTTTACAGGTGTTAGGGGTTTAGATCAAGTTTCGGTAAAATACCACCTTCAAAGAACATAATACGTATCTATCATCATGGCGGGGATGGGGGTGGGGTGGAGTGGGGGTGGGGATGGGACATTTTTACCCAAAGTTGATCTAAACTCATAAATCGTGTAAAAAATGTTTAACATATAAGTTTAGGTCAAATTATAGCTGTAACAAAGTCCAAGGTCCCTGTGGTAGCTTCAACAGTCCACTATGGAATATTTGCCAGTTTTACGAAAGAGCATTGGTATCTAATATTTTGTATAATTCTCATATACTGCAATTTGGTTTACTAACGACATATAGGCAAATGCAACACAGAATGTAAATATACATGCATATTTGTGTACTATGTATATTGTATGTATTATATATTTACATGCATAACAATGACCTACATAAATGATGCAATTTTTGTTTATGTAATATATATGAAGTCCAGTACATTATATATTTCAAAAATTAAACAATAAATAAATATTTAGATTAAACATTTACTTACGTCTTCGACCATTTCCAATACATACGCCAATACCATTTATAACAATAAATACTGTCAACAACAAACCAGTCATCTTAGTGGTCAGATTTAAATGGGGACGGACATTGTGGTATCAATTTATAGAGACCACTCATCATTCGATGACGTCATCAGGGTGATAGTTGAGTGCTTTACCAAGCCCAGGGCAGATCGTGGAAGTCATTTAATTATCATTTGCCCAAGTCGTTAGAAAGGGGGTAATAAAAGGAAAATCTAATACAATCTGGAAAACTGAATCCGGAACATTTAATTAATGGAAATGGATTTCCTTTTGTTGTAATAAAAATGACTTTTATTGAGTTTAATTGCTTTGTATATGTGTTGTTATCTTCTTACCTACCTAAAAATAATGTGTGCAATGGTTACTGCTTTGTGAAGATTATTAAAAAATAAAGTAAGTAATATTTAAAAAGAAGAGAATATTTTATAAAGCGAATATTCTCTTTCATATTTCATCGATTAGGTTGAATACCCTATATTTTTTTAGAAGTGCAAGCTAAGGATGAAAGTATGATCATCCCACTTATTAATTTTTACTTTTATAATTCATATTACTGGTGATCAGAACGCACCGTCAACAAACTTCCAGTCAATCGCCAAAGATTCACAGACCTGCTGTCAGCGAACTATTTTCATTCTTATTTCAGTTTCTTATGCTGATTTTATGCTTAATTGATTAAGTGCACGATAAACAACGATTTGATAACAGTCGAGAAACTTAGCCCGTTTTTCGAAAGAAAAAAACAGATATCTTATAACAATATCCTAAATCAAAGTGGCCTTTCATCGGCCTTACTATAAAAAAGATAAGAAAATCCTGTTATATTCTTATATAAGTTTTATTGATTTTTGAATAATGTAAATATTCATTGGATTAAAAATTGTACATCGCACATAAACTACCATTACGTATATAATGCGTGGAGTAAACGTGTAGTCTGAAATCGAGTATTTATTGGGTAACCAGTTTTAAATCTTGTGCACTTTGACTGACTGCATACTCTAGTTAGAATGATGAACATAGATGTTAATATCTGGTTGGACTAAAGTGTGAAAAAAATTGTATTCGCGGTTTACTTACTTTGGCCTACTTTATAAACGTCTGGAATACTCTTATGGAGTGACTGATACCGCACTATGCTGGATACAGTCTTACCTGAGTGAACGACGACAGTGTGTTGCCATCGGATCTTCCACCTCACATGACAAAGTACTAGATTTCGGGGGTCCTCAAGGGTCGGTATTAGGACCACGAAAATATTGTATGTACTCCAAACCGATTGGAGAGATTTGTCGTCGCAATAGCCTTCGCTATCTGGAAGCTTGTATGACAGATATCAGTATCTGGATGAACGCCAACATGCTTAAGATAAATCAGGAAATGACGGAACTAATCGTTTTTCCCCAAAGTGTCAGCAAACAATGGCTCTCCAGCTCAAAGTCGGTGCCGGAACTATTGAGACTGTTCCAGCTGTTAAAAATCTAGGGGTATACTTTGATAGTTCACTGAACATAGAGAAACAAGTGAACGCTATTGCCAAATCCTGTTACTACCAGATCAGGAACATCGGCTGTATTCGGCAGTGTTTAACTGCAGATGCATGCAAGATTTTGGTGCATTCACTTGTTACCTCTCGGTTGGATTATGGTAACGCCCTGCTCTGTGGTATATCTGACAAACTAACTAGTCGTCTGCAGAGGGTCCAGAACAGTACAGCACGGCTGGTTACTCGTACTCGAAAGAGAGAGCACATCACACCTGTGCTTTATTCGTTGCACTGGTTACCTGTACGATACAGGTCGCAGTACAAAAATTCTGGTGTACACATACAAGGCACTGAATGGAACAGCTCCTCAGTACCTACATGAGCTTGTTACCCTGTATTAGCCGTCACGATCACTGCGGTCGGAGTCAGAATCTTTGGTGTGTGTCCCAAAATCTCGTACTGTGACCTACGGAAGCAGATGCTTTGGGAGGGTTTCGGCTACGTTGTGGAATAGCTTACCATCTGCTATTAGAAAGTAAAATACCCTGGCCAAGTTCAAGAGGGACATCAAAACTCACCTCTTCACGTCTGCATTTTAGAATCTTTGCAAAGACGTCATGTAAATACCACCCTTTTATTTGATAGAGATTGTAAGCCTTTTTTGGTTTTTTTCACAATTATAACTATTACTATTATCCTATGTTGTAAAGCGCTTTAGAGTAATTTTACAAATTATATAGGGCTATATATAAATGTTGTATATTATTATTATTTATTATTTAATAGGAAAACTTCATTTAAGAACTGAATGATGAATTGTTTCTTTTACGGCCGTAAGTCCTTACTCATTTAAATGGGGACAAATGCAGTGTATATATATACTGGAAAGTTCCAGTAAAATATGTACACTCCTACTGTTATGACAGTGAACTGTAAGACACATGCAAAAGTAAAACGTAGGTTGGTTTACTACCTAGCGTTTCCCTTACCTAAAAGGTAGAACAAGATAAAATTGGGTTTTTCTGGGCTTTTGCATTTTGAGGTATTCATCTTTCATTTTCATATGTACGTTTAAAACTCTTGGATTGTTACAAATATTAACTGCAGGATTGGTATAGGTCCCCCTTTTTTTCTTTTGGATTTTCTCATTTTTTTTCTAATTTCAAACTTGTGTAAAGTTGATTCGGTACTCCAAACAATGGTTTCAGTGGCATGCTTCGCAAAATTGATGTCTCCGTCCTTTTGAGAATACACAACTTAGCAAGGGTTTCTTGGCGGGATCTTCGTTGAACATATTGTAGTCCACATCATTAGTTGACTCCATCCGTAAGATTTCTTGTTGGTGTGTTTCTTAAACAAAAGGCTCAATAGGCCCGCATCGCTCACCTGTTATTAATCTAACACTTGTAATCTTAAGATTTCATAAGATTCTATTAAAAGATTCAAACATATGACGCCTCTGACCTTGATTGTCGAACAAGGACATTAGGTTGAAAGAGGATCGAGGTCATTCATTTGAAGTAATATGGTAGTCCTTCATCCCAGCATGCTACAGGCCCAATTTCAGTACCCTGGCCCTTTTGCTTATTGAAAAGAAGTCGCTTGAAGATTTTACGACATTTGACCCCTGTGATCTTGAAAGTTGGTCAAGGTCATTCAGATGAACAAACTTGATATTCCTTCATCCCAGCATGCTATTGGCCCAATATCAGTACCCTGGGCCTTTTGGTTATTGAGAAGAAGTTGTATGAAGATTTTACGACATTTGACCCCTGTGACCTAGAAAATTGGTCAAGGTTATTCATTTGAACAAACTTGGTAGCCCTTCATCCCAGCATGCTACAGGCCCAATATCAGTACCCTGGGCCTTTTGTTCATAGAGAAGAGATTTTAAAACATCTGACCCCAGTGACCTTGAAAGTGGGTCAATGTCATTCAGTTTAACAAACTTGGTAGCCCTTCATCCCAGTATGCTACAGGCCTAATATCAGTACCCTGGACCTTTTGGTTATTGAGAAGAAGTCGTTTGAAGATTTTATGACATTTGACCCCTTTGGCCTTGGAAGTTGGTCAAGGTCATTCATTTGAATAAACTTGATAGTCCTTCATCCTAGCATGCTACATGCCCAATATCAGTACCCTGGGCCTTTTGGTTATTGAGAAGAAGTCGTTTGAAGGTTTTGCAACATTAGCCCCCTGTGACCTTGAAAGTTGGTCAAAGTCATTCATTTGAACAAACTTGGTAGCCCTTCATCCCAGCATGCTACAGGCCCAATATCAGTACCCTGGGCCTTTTGGTTATTGAGAAGAAGTTGTTTGAAGATTTAAGACATTTGACCCTTTTGACCTTGAAAGTTGGTCAAAGTCATTCATTTGAATAAACTTGATAGTCCTTCATCCTAGCATACTACAGGCCCAATATCAGTTCCCTGGGCCTTTTGGTTATTGAGAAGAAGTCGTTTGAAGATTTTGCAACATTAGACCCCTGTGACTTTGAAAATTGGTCAAGGTCATTCATTTTAACAAAGTTGGTAGCCCTTCATCCCAGCATGCTACAGGCCTAATATCAGTACCCTGGGCCTTTTGGTTATTGAGAAGAAGTTGTTTGAAGATTTAAGACATCTGACCCCAGTGACCTTGAAAATGGGTCAAGGTCATTTATTTGAACAAACTTGGTAGCCCTTCATCCCAGTATGATACAGGCCAAATATCAGTACCCTGGGCCATTTGGTTATTGAGAAGAAGTTGTTTGAAGATTTAAAAGACATCTTTGCCGACGACTACCTACTGTACAGGTGCATCCAGAACATAAGAGACCACCTAAAACTCTGAAAGCACCGGACTCACTTGGAGAGATAGGCATCAACATGGGGTATGCGTTTCAATGCCAAGAAGTTCTACATCATCAGTATTAGCTGCCAGCTACAAAACTTCTAACCAGCTTGGCAACCACATCCTACAGTAAGCGCAGGAATCCCTATTACTCGGAGTAACCCTCTCAGAGGATCTTAGTTTTGGTCCACACATCACCAAGATAGTAAAGATGGCTAATTCCACTCTATGGTTTATGCGGCAAATCCTAAAGCATTGCCCAGCTTCATGTCGAAAACAGCTATCATTGCTCTAGTTCGATCAACTGTAGAATATAGCTCTGTGGTATGGGACCCCTATCTCTGCCATGACATCGACAGGCTAGAGCGTATCCAACACCAGGCATCCCGATTCATTATTAGAGACTACACTTCCCGGAAATCAGGTTGTGTTACCCATATACTTCAGAACCTGGGCCAGCCCCCCCACTTCAAGAAAGGAGTAAGCAGAACAGACTAGCATTCTTTTATAAAGTGGTAGAGGGGCTGGTGCAAGCCGTTCACTGTCAGGATTATTAAACACCAATCCGTGAGAAACGGAACATTAGAGCCAAAACGGTTTACAGAAGTATATCGTGTCATCACTGATTAGTCTATAATGAATGTTTTATTGACATTGGTTGGTCTAAAATTGATTCATCCTTGTCATTGGCTAGTTTACAAAGAAAGTGACGTCATAATTGAATGGATTCGCTGCATTAAGTAAATACTTTTGAGCCTATAACCGGTTTCCAGACGTATATCGTGTCATCACTGATAAGTCTATAATGAATGTTTTATTGTCATTGGTTGGTCTAAAATTAGATTCGCTGTATTAAGTAAATATTTTTGTTTTTTAAACGGACATGTTCTTGCCAACGGCTGGTCAACAGTGAGAACATTTCTTCGGAGTGTCAGCATTTGGATATGTCATTTTCACTGATTGGTCCATAATGAATGTGTCGCTTTTTGTGATTGGCCATTAATGGACGTGTTGGCATTAGTTATCATCATCACATCTTTTTAATAATCCAAGCTCTGTTGTAGGATACTCGGCTGTATACGGATGGTCCATCCAAACATTCCTTGTTTCCCCATGACGTTATGCCGCCCTGAACCCATCTTCCAGCCTCGATTTCACACTGTAAGGGGCCGCCACTGTCGCCCTGAAAGTCAAGGTTATATGCTAAATTCTACTATTTATGTTTAATTTTAATGTGTATCACCGAGACATTATATTGAAAGGGAAAATGTTTAAGGATACCTCAGAACTCTTTTGGTTATCTATAATATTATTAATCTTTTATCAATTTCACCTTAATTATAGTTATAGTCCTGCAAAGTAAAGGTTTGTCTTAAAAAATCATTTTTCAAAGCTTTGGCCATTGCATGCCAGAAATATTAGTTTTCAATGTTGACGGTGAAACAGGGATCCTTAAATTCTAGAAATAACCAAGACCTACGTAACATGTGGCCCTCGAAGGATCTTCAGTACATATCATGTCGTCGGTTACTTGGTTACTTAGCCCTTTCTGGCACTCGTCGTTAGAGATGACAGATACTGCCGCCTGCTGGAGAATGGACGCCGTTGTCTTAGGCTCTGTAAGTAACATACCAACGACCAGTTCAGGCATTATCTCAGGAAAGTATTATGGCGGTACCCAATTGATATTTTTCAAGTTTTTCTTTTTATTTGCTTAAAATTCCCATTAACGTTAATTCGATATATATATATCTTTGTATGGGTCAAAGAAGTAATTTAAAAGATAAATTACCATATAACACTGAGTTCTTACAAACGTATTCAATTTAAACGTTAATTCGACATCTATACATCTTCGTATAGGTCAACGAAGTAACATCAATGGTAAATTCCCATACAACACCTGGTCCTTACAAACGTATTTTTGCAGGTTACGAATGACTTAAAATTGGAATACGGGACAAGGAGTTAATTCAAACAGTGTAGGCAATATGATGACAAATTTTCGGAGCAATCCGCTCCTTTACCGACACATAGAAACACACAGAAAACTTGCATTGCATCTTGGTAAATACATATACATAAAATGTATCTCAATTGGTAGTGTTTATCGAACTAACATTTCCTCTATTAACTAACCAGTACAAGAACCACCTTGATTATATATTATGCTTGGCACTGGAACAATAATGATAAGTGCCAATACAACACTTTGAACACTAACAAATTAGCATTCAGAACCGACTGGTCAGTGTGAACAACAACATTAAAAGCCAATGGGACCACGGGAACAACAAACAAAAAATCAAAAGAAACAGCAGGAACACAATATTAAGTACCAATGGAACACTGGGAACAAAAAACATTAAGACCCGATGTAAACAATTGGAACAACAACATTCAGGTCAAACGGGATTACCAAAAGCCAATTGGACACTGGGGAGGCTAACAATTAGAGCCAATTTGACACTGGTGACAGCTCCACTAAGACCTCATGAAAAAATTGTAACATCTACTTTAAGAGCTAGTGGGACACTGGGAGCAGTGGTATTAATACCTTATTTGATACTGGAGCCAATAAAACACATTTATCAAAAGAAAGTTAGACACTAGGAACAACAATATTAAAAACCAACTAAACGCGAAGACGACATTTCGAAGCAATGAAACACTGCCAATAGCTTAATTTAGAGCCAGAGGAATATTTGGAGCATCAGCTGTATACTGGGAGTAACAACACAAAGTGCCAACTTGACGTCGACAGCAGCTATCAGAAAGGAAGTCCGATATTTACAGGAACAAATGAAACCATGAAAAAACGTTGGATCCCATGGAACAACTAAATTACACCGGAAACCAGACGTTCAAGATAGTTCAGGTATTGGCCTACAAACAATTGTAATTGTTAAATGTACAGTATTTTTACTAGCGTGAAACTTTGTGCAGTTTATGAAATGATTATCAACGTATTTTATTGACGTTCGTAGTAGACTATTGTTAATTACCTTTGTTGTCACGGAGGCCCCACCCTGTTATGTAACATGTGTTCAGTGACACATCCATGGCGGATGTGGCTAGCTCTATGGGCTGGATGTGTGTTCCGAAAGCGACTGGCTCTTTTAGTTTCAGAATGGCAACATCATTTACTAAAGTTCTTCTGTTATAGTCCGGATGCTGGAACGGGTAGTTGAATAAGAATGCTCAGAGTGAAAAGAAATTCAAACTAATAAATGACCTCTTGCAGCTCCATGAATTCCAGTCCGTTTTTAAAAAAATACATATGTAGATTCTATAACAGTTGGAAAATTCTTGATTTAAAAAAAAATGTCTTTATTTTCGTCCTGGAGAAACTAGGGTGTCTGTTATACGTTACATGATCTAAATATTTGTTTTCCAAGCCTCATTCTGTACTTATGAGATTAATTCTGTTTTGCTGTGTCGATTCTGTTGTAGCTTTAGTAGAGGCTCACTGTAAGCGATGCTGAAGATGATTGTGATGTGATAGTATTGTGCTATTAAAACATTTAAGTTTGCGAAAATGAGTCGTACCAGTTTAATATTTAAAATCAAGAATGACGGTAGAGCTTATGCAGGTTAGAAAACCCCGTTTATGATGAAAAAACCGGAAGTTATTCGGGTAACTCAAAATTGAAACCAATTTATAATGTTAAACAAAATATCTAGAAATAAATGAAGTACATATATATTACATTATCTTAATACATTATACTCACGACGTGAACCCTCTTCACTTTGACTGACAGTTCATTTCTCCCTTGTTCGGGAACACGTCTGTCGTAGTCTCCAACATTGACCAGGAACCGTCTGGCCCTGGTATCAAACGAAAACTCATACAATTCACCTTTATCTTTTCTTATTTTTACATGTCAGAATCCTTCTGCCAGTTATGCTATTTTAATGAAAACATATACCATCTGAAAGTCATGGATTTATCATCTGATAATATTTGTATATTTTTTTCAAAAGTTTTCACGTCAATAGAATTTCACTGCTCTCTTTTTAGCCATGAAAAATACTAGTAGAAGGTAAACGGGGTCTGTCGCCACGTTAATTGTAATAAACCATAGTTTGGAATAAATGTTTCAAAGTCTTATCTTCTGACCCGTGTCAGAAATGCATATATCCTGAAAAGGAACATGTAAAGCCTTTTCAGGATACTCCAGGAGTAACGCTCACCTACGCTCTCTTCACCCCTGGACTATGTCATGGCAAAAAAGACTCTGTGTGCATACTCTTGCTGAAGGGACAAGAACACTAGTTTGATACTTTGGGTCGCTTAACGGGGAAATTGACTAGCTTTGAAGTCGGGTGTCGCACCTCTGTAATTTTCAAAACACGGGTATTACAACTGCGATCAATTAAATAGCTAGCCCCGTGATTCAATTTTGCTATAACTTTTCCCAGGGATGCAGAGAGCGAAAGTGAGCGAAACACCTGGAGTATTGAGGATGCAAAACACCGTGTAATCCTTAATTTATATCAGACCTGGAGTAATTATAAATAAACCGGGGTCTAAAGAGGTATGTTGCGCCACTTATTGTAATAATAACGCTAACACTGACAGTGCACAATAATGTTGATTATTGGAAAGTTTTCACCTCATTTTAATTTCGCGTCACTTATAAACAATGTTTGGTTGTGTTGTATGAATCTTTTCTTAATTTAAATTTCGCCTTTTTCGTTCTCGGTAATGAGGGCAAAATTATCGTGACAAACAACATTATAAATATAGAAATCAAACGTGAAGGGCGAAATTAAAACTGAAGGAATACTGATGTTAGCAGCGTAGGGCGAAAGTTTGACTTGGCGAAAGTTTCCCAGTACACAATATATGGAGCAGTAGGATAATTCATTTCTGAGGGACTGTCTTATGATGACGTGGGCGGAAACTTGATATCACTCTGTCCCAGGTATCTACTCGCCAAATATCATTACTCTGGGCTTCCTGGTTATTCAGAAAAGTTTTAAACACATTTGACCCTTGTGATCTTTAAAGTGGGCCAAGGTCATTTATTTTCGAAAACGCGATTTTACATGTTTGCAGGCCCTGTCTTTTTAGGTCACCTAAGCTTTAGCTTGAGTGACCTATTGCTATCCGTCTTCGAACGTCGTCCGTCGTGCGGCGTCCGTTAACATTTTACATTTTCAACTTAAGCTGAACTACCGGCAAAGGGATTTCATTGATATTTCATGGGAAGGTTACTGACATTTCCCTGACTTAGTGTTGTTATTTTTCAGGTCAATCAGAAATCCGATGCACGGCCGTCATTTTGAAAAACAATTTCCAACTTAAAGTCAAGTTATACTGGGCCGATTGAACTGAAAATTTGTATGAATGATTGAATCATGGTCCTGACAAAGCATTTTTTTTTCCGGGCCGATCAGAAATCCAATATGGCCGCCACGGCCGCCATTTTGAAAACCTATTTCAAACTTAAAGTCAAGTTCTGCTGGGCCGATTGAACTGAAACCTGGTAGGAATGATCGACTCATGGTCCTGACAAAGTGTTGTTATTTTCCGGGTCAATCAGAAATCCAATATGGCCGCCGCGGCCGCCATTTTGGAAAAACAATTTCCAACATAAAGTCAAGTTCATGCTGGGCCGATTGAACTGAAAATTTGTAGGAATGATCGAATCATGGTTCTGACAAAGTTTTTTTTTTTCGGGCCGATCAGAAATCCAATATGGCCGCCACGGCCGCCATTTTCAAAAACTGTTTCAAACTTAAAGCCAAGTTATACTAAGCCGATTAAACGGAAACTTGGTAGGAATGATCGACTCAAGGTCTAACAAAGTGTTGCTATTTTCCGGGTCAATCAGAAATCCAATATGGCCGCTACGGCCGCCATTTTAAAAATCCTATTTCAAACTTAAAGTCATGTTCTGCTGGGCCGATTGAACTGAAACTTGGAATGGATGTTTGACTAATGGTCCTGACAAAGTTTTGGTATTTTTCGGGTCGATCAGAAATCCAATTTGGCTGTCACGGCCGCTATTTTGAAAATAATTATATCAAACTTCTAATAGGCCGATTGAACTGAAACTCGGTTTAAGATTGATCAGCTCCTGGTCCTGACAAACTTATGTTTACGTTATACTTAACTATTTTTTACTCGAATTGGTACATATTTCAACAACAAAAATAAATACTGTAGGAGTCAGGTGACTGTTAAGGCCCATGGGCCTCTTGTTATGTTTATGAGGTGATACACATAATACTCATCATAGGTTGTGAAAAAACCTACCGTCGTTTGATGATGCAATGCGCAGCTGTTAAGACTGTATTTTCATTGAGCAGCGTGCCCCCACATGTAAACCTGCGCATGTATTTGACAGAAACTTGCCATGGCCAGGCGTCGTCTGTAGCGTTTACTCCTCCAATGATTCCAACAAGATCATGGTTGCCATCTATTTCTTCGTCCTTCGAAACTTAATGACAGAATTTTTTTATTTTCATTTTTTATATCTAAGCAGGCTTTTATTGGAGTAGCTTCGAGAGGACTTGATAAGTTGTTACAGCTATATTGCAGCCCGGGGGCATTGTTTTGCAGAAAGTTAATTTAAACTCAAAAAACGTGTTAAATTTGTCTGACCACCTTAGTTAAGGTCCAAATAAAGATGTAAAAATGTATCAGGCCCCTTCAACATTCGTTTGCTAAAATGAATACATATAACATACATATTGTGTATAAAATGTATACTGTGCATATACTATATTAACTGATTGTATGATAAAATGATAATAAGTCCTTGTGCAAGAAAAACGATACAGTGCATATCGAATAAATATATACTGTTTTCAGTGTATACTGTGTTCAATGTATACTATGCTCATCGATTAGATTGAATAATACATTTACTGTGTTCATTACATTTTTTTGTACTATGTTTATTGTATGTGTTACAATTTTCGTGAAAAATGTAGATTAAACATTTACTTACGTCTTTGACCATTTCCAATACATACGCCAATACCATTTATAACAATAACTACTATCAACAACCAACCAGTCATCTTAGTGGTCAGATGGAAATGGGGACGGACGTTGTGGTATCATAGACCGATCATCATTTGATGACGTCATCAGAGTGATAGTTGAGTGCTTTACCAAGCCCAGGGCAGATCGTGGAAATAATATAAACGGCACTTAATGGGTTATGCAAAATCATCACTTGCCATTTAAGTTGTTAGAAAGGGGGTATACAAGGAAAATCTAAAACAATCTGGATAACTGAATTTTGAAAATTCAATAAACAGAAATGGATTTCCTTGTGTTGTAATAAAATGACTTAACTTGTGTTTAATCGATTTTTATATATGTTGATATTTTCTCATTAACCTTAAAATAACGTAAACAATGTTAACAGTTTTGTGATGATTATAAAAAAAAAAAAGTGTACAATGTTTCAAAATAAATGTAGTTTTTATTTAGCGAATATTCCCTTTTATATTTCATCAATTAAATTGAATGATCTTTCTATGTGGCAAGTGCTAAGTAAGGAAGAATTTTGATAAGAACACAATCATCCAAATTCTTCGATTTCACTTCTTTACAGATATCACTTATGATCGAAATGCACAAACAACGTGTTACTGGTGTTGGTATGTCATATTGCTGTGTCAAGGCTGGCTGTATTGTGAGATGGTACTTTAGGTACCCCTTGAGAGGCCCTCATCAGGACACGCTCAACAAACTTCAAGTTAATCGACAAAGATTTACAGACCTACTGTCAACGAACCAATTCCATTATTATTCAAGTGTCCTTTGCAAATTAGGTTATCTATTTATGATTTTACGCATTTTCGGGACAATTTGGACAATCCTGGACACATATTTTTACATTGATTATGCGCACTCGGTATGACTGTGGTGCATAGAGTACACGGGTAATCTGCAATCGAGTATTTGTCAGATAACTAGTTTCAAACCTCGGGCACTTTTGCGGATAGCATACTTTTGTTTGAGTTTTGAACAAAACAGTTCCTGACTTGGTAGAATAACGTTTTAGCAATTGTATTCGCAGTTTACTCACTTTAGTCGGAAATCTGCATTTAAAAACTGAATGATGAAATAATTCTTTTACGGCTATAAGTTCTTATGTAAATGGAGAAAAATACAGTGTATATAGACTGAAAAGTTCCAGTAAAATGTGCACACTGTTACTGTTATGACAGTGAACTGTCAGACACACGCAAACCTAAAACATAGATTGCTTTACTACTTACCCTTACCTAAAAGGTAAAACAAGATAAAAATAGGTTTTTGTTATGACCTAGAATTTCCTCTCTTTGCATTTTGAGGTATTCATCTTTCATTTTCATCTGTACATCTAAAACTCTTGGATTGTACTGCAGGATGGTATAGTTCCCCAGTTTTTCTTTTGGATTTTTCTTTATTTCTATTTTTTTTTCATTTCTTTTCTTATTTCAAGTTTGTGTAATTTCGATTCGGTACTCCAAACAATGGCGTAAGTGGCATTATTCTCAAGATGGATGTATCCGTCCTTTTCAGAATACACAACTTAGCAAGGGTTTCTTGGCTGGATCTTCGTTGAACATGTTGTAGTCCTCATCATAAGTTGACTCCGTCCGTACGATTTCTTGTTGGGATGTTCCTTAAATAATGTTGACCTTTAAGAGACTGGTCAGAAGATGAAGACAACCCTTTTTCCTCAAAAAAATCTTTTGCTTTTTGTGATATGCCTTGTTTTACAAATATAATAAGTTATATGTATCTGTGGTGTTGATAATAAGTGACATATTGGAAAGAGACATACATGAAAATGTCGGGGGGGGGGGGGGGGGGGGGGGGGGGGAGGAAGTTGAAAACGGCTTCAGAACGACATGATAATGGAATTTCCCAAATGGGAATGGATATTCTCCGAAAAGAATTTTTGATGGCACTGTATATATCGTTTTAAAAATATCTTTATGCATTATTTTAAGGTTCATAGTATTGTTTACATTTGTCTCTGACCGTAGAACTCTGTGGTCACTAGGCCTAGAATTCAGACGAATTATATGGAATTTATTGGACTTTATTGACTAGTGAAATATATGACGTAGTAGTTTAAAGATAATAAACGTTTAACTGCACAGTATTTTCAGGGTAAGTCATTCGAACAATTTTCCCATTGCTCGCACGTGTATACAACTTCGAGTCTACCTGCGGTGACCTCTCGATTTTATCCTGGCGCTCGCAATGAGAAAATTGTTCTCACGACAAACCCTAAAAGCACAGTGTTATAATCTATAACCATCTATTTTAATTTACTTAACGTAACCGTTAATGATATCGTTGTTTGCAGGAATCATAAATATGAAGAATTCATAAAGGCATAATACCGAAGAGTGCACTCGAATTTGATATTAATATATGATTTTTATAAGTATTTGAATCTTCGAAATATTTTATCTATAGTTTGCTTGCAGGGAGTACTATAGAGGAATTATCGTTATCAAGATCTCAGTGATAACATAACTTTGTTCATAAGCTTAAATGACTTCTTCTGAAGAAATGATTGGCCTAGGGTGATCATGTCTGGCAAGTACCTTGCTACAACGTCAATTATAAATTTTGCGAAAAAAAATAACCTAAACTTATAATCGAGGTCACAGAGGTCAAATTGGTTAAGAAATCATTGACTTCTCCTTAAAAACAGAAGAGCATAGATTCATGATATTTTGCCATTGGGTTGCAACTTTTTCTGAAAAACAAAGGGTCAGATGATCCAGATATTTTGCCTGTAGTATGCTAGGATAAAAGGCTTTCAAGTTTGTTTGAATACATAACCTCGACTAACTTTGAAAGTCCCAAAGGTAAAAAAAGTTTAAATCCTCCAATAACGACTTTCGATATTTTGAGTAATGATAATTTTCCTATTTTTATCAGATAAATGTATCTTTGACCCACTTTGAAGGTCATATAAGTGAAATGTGCTTTTGGACAGCATCTAGTTACTTGTAAGAAATACATGAGCATTGGACCTTTAGTTATACATGTTTGTTAACATTTTGGCTTGATTGCCATTACTTGTATTTGGCCTTCAATGTCACCGTTTACTTGTATAGTTATTACCCCTAAAACTACGATAACCATCGTCTCTAAAAGTTACTAATATGACAAAACAACTCCTTAAGTGAGCCTCGATGTTTTATTTCCAACATCCTCGTACAGTCGAATTTAGAGTGGGATTCTTTCGTCGGACTCGCACGTTGTTAGAAAGGCAAACTGAAATTAATAGAAAAGATATCATTATTTGACGTAAATATTAATTTAGAAAACTTATAAAAGTTATTTTGATCAATAAGATCTCCAACAATATTTGTCCTATATACAGGTATACTTTAACCTTCAGATTATGCAAGAAACTAGAACGATATCTATTATATTTCAACTTAACAAAGGCTCATAGTAAGTATAAAAGAGACACAATTTTGGAAACACTTTTCTGTTTCTAAACATTCAACATAATCTCCAGCTGTCAAACAATTTCATGCTTCCCCAACATAATCGTTAATCTTTAAAGCTCCATATTATTTTATTTTCAAAAAAATAATTTTCAATTTTATAATGATGATGATCTACCTATTTATTAAGTGAGCTTAGATTAATAATAATATGCATTGTCACTGCCTTTTCTGCATAACATATTTTCACCTTCGATGAAGAGGTTTTGTTGTTAGGTTTCCACTCCTAATAGACAAATTATATATTTCTAAACATAATTCATAGTTTTTGTATCATTACTAAAAGGAAACGACAAATGACTATGAGAGGCAAAACTTGTCTGCTTGATTTGCGTTCACCTGGCGTCCAAAAGACCAACCGTCCAGACGGAGGCATTGCATGTTTTGGATAGTGTTAAATACCTGCGAGGTACTCTCCGTGGTACGAACTTATTCAAAAACAGAACACTCCCATCGTGTTTACCTGTGAATACCTGCACTTTTCCAATGCGTTTTGTTCGGGGTGTTTGTCTAATTATGGTTTTAAGCGGTATACTCATTAGTACTAATTTTCCATAACGTTTGGAATTCAAATTCATCTTTCAAAGTCATATTCAACAAAACATCCGAAGCAGTTATAACTACCTAAAAGTGTGGAAATGGCACTTGAAGATTTTCATTTCTCTATTTTTTACATGGTTATTATTATTATTTTTATCAAAGTTTTGCTTGCTACACAAACAATGTATGTATCAAACGTGATGCAATTTGTTTATTTCATTCATTAGGTTATGCTATCTATTAATAGTATTTATACACGTATTTATTTATTTTAATCTCTTCGAATTTTTCCTCATTCTTACTTCTTTTTCGGTATCCTATCACTTGTAGTATCTTTTGCAGGAATGACAGCAGACGTTTCCGAAGTGAATTGAGGAACACATTTTTCTTTTGCTGCCCTTGAACGCCGAATACACAATGTGACTGCAGTCACTCTGTGACAACTTGTCCTCCTTACAGGGTTCTAATTCGCCATCCTCGGGGTATTCACCTTTACCCTGGTAAGCTGGTAAGGAAATAAAAATAAAATAAAATAAACAAAATGAGTTGTACTTGATATCAGTAACAGAATTAAATGTCCCTTTGCTGAGTCGTCAGTCAGTTTGATATTTGTTAACATTACCAGTGTTTACTAATATTCACTATATTAACCTTGTCGTGCAAATGGGACATATACAGTTTTCCTTATTGTTGCGGTTCCTAATTTTCGCACAATTGCTAATATTTTTCTGCACCATATGAAAATTTCGTCTTTGTAACCTTACAAATTTTGACTACAACAGACAATTTATAATTTTTTCCGTGCCAGAATATAATCCAGTTACACGGCTTTTTTTTAACCTTTTACCTTCATGACCACTGATGAATCCTAATTGGACGAAATTACCATATGTAGCAGCAGTATATTTACTTTGTTTGGCTCTCCGCTTCTACAACCACACAGCCTAAAGGCTAGAATTTATGAATATATTTACATAATGGGAGTGTTGTTGAGATACCCGGAGAGGGTAGTACAGACAAGCATAAACAACAATAGATTTACCTAGGTCTCTTCGTTCTCTATTGGCTAGTGCCTTAGCTTCGGCGGAGGCACAATACCGACAACAGGAAACCATGTTGTGGGGGTTTGCACAGAAAATGTGTGGCATCCCTCCATGCTTGTAAAATTTACTCAACATCATTCTGTGACACGTCGATTCGCCGATTCTATCTTCACACTTCATGTTTTCACCTTCGCTGCTGTCACGCCTCTCACGAAGAGGAGCGTCATTCACGTTCATGTCTTGAATCAAACTCTTGGAATCCACGTTGTCAAAGATTTCCTTTGCCCATTGATTGGACATGCCATTAGGTTCAAATTTCGCTCTTTGAAAATCCATACTGCCGCCAAATCTTTTGAGCACATTATTTATTACTCCATTGCCAAATCCATCGTCGCCTTTACCATCGTTACCAAAGCCGTTGACAATATTGCCTATGATATCGTCAAAGCCACCGCTGCCACCATTGCCGCCGCCATTACCACCGCCGTTGGCGCCACCATTACCGCCGCCATTGCCGCCACCATTGCCGCCGCCATTACCGCCGCCACCATTGCCGCCGCCATTGCCGCCACCATTGCCGCCGCCATTGCCGCCGCCATAACCGCCGCCACCATTACCGCCGCCATTACCACCACCATTGCCGCCACCATTACCGCCGCCATTGCTGCCGCCATTACCGCCGCCATTACCGCCGCCACCATTGCCGCCGCCATTTCCACCACCAATGCCGCCACCATTGCCACCGCCATTGCCGCCGCCATTACCACCGCCATTGCCGCCGCCATTGTCACCGCCATTGCCGCCGCCATTACCGCCACTACCATTGCCGCCGCCACCATTGCCGCCGCCATTGCCACCGCCATTGCCGCCGCCATTGCCGCCGCCATTACCGCCGCCACCATTGCCGCCGCCATTACCGCCGCCACCATTGCCGCCGCCATTTCCACCACCGTTGCCGCCGCCACCATTGCCGCCATCATTTTCTCCATAACCTGAAACCAATAAAACAACAATTTGTATCTAAGGTTTTAAAATCTATACAACACTTAAATAATTATGTACTTTAAGAAAGTTTAATAAAGTGTCAATGGTTTTGAATAATTCATTTCCCGTGACTGTTGAAATATTGTCGAATCCAGCCAAAAATGATACAAACATGTTGACGTTTATCATTTTGGTATTTACTAGGTCCAATGTTATGATATGTAGTAGAATATACAGATTAAATGATTTTGTCGATGCAATGCGTTTAGGTGCACTCACGATATTCTGATATGCCGATCCAGACAAAATACAAATGAGGTGACGGTCCGACTACAATATACTCCCTATAATTCCTTTTGTACAAAAAAATAATTATCTTATTATTATTGATAAGATTTCTTGCTACATTTCAACAGGCAATCAAAAGTGATGTGGTAAAACTAGGACACAAGGGAAACCTCTTTATTATACAACTAGACCTCGTTAAAGTGTTGCGTTATAAAGGGGTATATCGATAGTAGAGAGAAATGTATCATGGAATTATTTGAAAAAAACACATCAAAAAGCGTCCTTAAAATATGTTTGCGATAAATCCAATCGAGGTGGCAAATGGAACGAAATGCACACTATCGATGTTTTAACGTATATTAAATGGATCTGTCCGGAACTGTCTAAGAACTATTGAAAATTGTATTAGACAATGGAATTCAAAATTGCCCAATGACGGCTATATTGTCTATTATCCATTAACAAAAGTGATATGTACCAAATAGGTGAAAGATTTCATTTTATTGGAGGAGGGGGGTATAACAAAAGTTCCTTTAGGACAGATGGATGGACTGAGAAGTCCATTTCTTGAGAGGCATTTTTACCTCAGTCTGTATTACCCTAATCAATTGCGTAATCGCCATGCCAACATCGTTACCTCATTCGTTCCCTTACTCACCGTCGAAGCCTTTATAACCATCCAGGATACTCTGTATTTGCTTGTAAGGGTGCTTTACTAAAGGAAAATAAAAAAGACAAAATAAGTTTAATATTACTTGGAATTACTACGAAATGGCAACAGGTGCGTCAATGAAGTCGCAAGAACGTATCAATGTTCCTGATAAAGATGAATTCAATAGTTCGTACCATGAATCCATCATTCTGACAATTTGTACAGTTGGAAGCCTTTTAAATTGTATTAAAAACAAACATATGTGTTCAATTTACATGATCACGTAGAAAGAATGACGTACTTCAACAAAAGACGACCTCTTAAGACAGTACTTGAAGAGGGAGCAGACGACAACTTTAGACACGACAATTGAAGCAATGAATCAACAGACGGTCAAGCTATAGACAACATTTGGGGCACTGAATTGTAGACGTGACATAATGAGACTTTACAGATGAAGTAATGACACAAGAAACGACGCGAGCTGTACACAGGATTAAAGCAATGTATCGAAAGACGACGACAACTATAGACATAACAATTGAAGCACTGAGTCAGAAGACAGTGACAGCTGTTGATACAATGGACCGAAAGACGGAGACAGCTTGGAAATTGTTTATTTCACAGGTATTGCAGACACATAATGAACTTTGAGAATTTAGAGCATAATGAAAATATAATTTCCTTTATTATCGATGCCAATATTGACACAGAAATAAAACTATCTTTATCCAACTTATTTATATACGGATACATTTTTTAAAAACCCAGAGAAATTGACAATAACAACAAGAAAGGTTTCCTTTAGGATGTTTAAGAAACTTACGCCACTCATCAATGTAGAGATTGTCCCAATTCTTGCCCATTCCGTTTTTGCAGAACGTGCAGCACATGCCGGCGTACTTCGTATCCTTACACATCGCCTTTGTGTCTTTGTTATAAGCCTTGTTCCGGACATCCATACACTGAGAGTACCTCATCGTATCCTTACAGTCGACCGTCAGATACATAAACTTGATTTTCATATCTTGAAAAGAAAAGAAACAATTGCTGCAAATCACTTTATTTTTCAGTGTATCTTATTTCGAGAACTTTGCCTACATGACACATTTGCGTTTATAATAATTCGCGGTTGAAGATGTAAATTGCAGTTTTGATATTGATAGTAGTTATCAATATTCGCGGGTGATATGAATTTGTCAATCAGAGCTATCGTGTTTAAACGCGAAAATAAATCTTTTGCAAAAATAAAGTGACTTATAGTATGTTCGCTACGAAAACAAATCCGTTCTTTTCAGTACAAGTTTACCATTGATATTTACATTTTCCACCGTTGATAACATTACTCACATATACATATACCAACTCTTGTACAACTTTCATATCTACCTTCTTTTAATATATTTACAAGTTCATCTAACCAAGAACGTTTTCTCAACTAAATTAACACATATCATTCTTTCACAAATGAAGAAACTGTCATACAACATACATATTTTCCACTGACATGTATTATATATATTGTATTATTTATATACTATATTGTATAGTGCTATTTCTGGCCATTCTTTGTGCAGTGATTTCTTAATAAAAAAAGATACTGTGTTAATGTTTCCATGCTGGGCCTTTGGTTCCATGAATTTTCCTATCAAATAAGTTTGATATTATCACAAAACATATGCACAAGCTGGTTTATGGTTTAATAACACCGTCGCATCAATTTTTGTTATGTAACATTGTTTATAATCAACAGTTGTGACGCCATAAGGAAACATACAACTGGTGAAGTTTTGTTTTGTTTGTTCCTGTCATATAATCACAAAATATGATGACGTCACAAATTGGCAAAAGTTACAAAACTTTTGATGTGTTCTGTAGTTTCTTCCTGTCCATAAAAATACAAAATATGATGACGTCACAAATTGACAGAAATGACAAAAATGGTGATGTTTTCTTTTGTTTTCTTGCGCAATTCATCATCTCATCACTCAAGTAATTCCCATCAACTATGATATTCATGCAACTTGCTCAGAAATGGGTTTGAGAGTTTCAATACAGTATTATATCATCGATGACATGGGTAAACAGATGATTGTCTAGCAAAATGATTCAATGGACAAATTATTGCTGAATATATTCGAAGCAATGACGTACGTTACAATAAATTAATGAAACTAATCAGCACATACCTATGATATCGTCTTTGTTTGGATCGTCGATGTCACACGTAAGTCTGTTGAGGCAAAACTCGCAACAATCGTCCTCTGCTTTATCTCCGAAACACATGGCGTAGATTTTCCCTTTATATTTGTTCTGAAGAACTTGCTTGCATTTCCTCTCGCTTATTTTGTTTTTGCAGTTTTTTGGCTTGGGCATCATATTGTTACAAATAACATCTACAATATCCAAAGTAAGTGGCGCAATAGTGAACATGAACAACACATAATGTAACAACCAGCACTAAATGTACCAATGAAATTGTTCAAAGGGATCGTGTAACAGCCAAGGAATATGAGGGAAAATAATGTCTTTCTGGCAAACTTTTAACTTCCGGCAATTGGGCATAACTCTTTGGATTGCTCACTACTTAAAGTATCACCGAACGAGGGCATGGCAAGATGGAAACATGAAAACCATTGAAAAACAATTAAAAATAATACTTACCCGTGATAAAACCGCATATTATCATAATCACGAAGAGTTTTACAGGGACGTCCATTGCGCCGGTGTGTAGGTCCAAAATGTATTAGAAATTAAACAATATTCAATGTCGACTTCCTTAATCAATTAAGGAATACATATTGTGCATTGCCCGAGGGTGCATGCGTGGTTGTATAGATGTCGTAAATGGCATTATAGTTGGTTCTGCTGGTCACTCCAAAGTCAGTAGTCCAATAGACAATATAAGATAGTACGATAGTGATCTCGAAACCCTGTAGTAACTCGCTGAGTTAAATCGACCACTCACATCATTTACTGGGTGTAAGAGTTATCGTTGCAAACGCGGTCTTGCTGTTAATTAAAAAAAAATCCGTATTTTCTATCTTTTTGCAAGCACTTGATTTGAATCGAATGATTTTTTATATGAATACAGAACGGGACAATCAATAAGTGCATCAGTGTTGAAGTCCTCCGAATTCGCTTTCATAAATATGGCCGATTATTGTTTTTAACCTCCAAGACTGTTCTCATGAACTTGGAATCAAGGACTCGCAGACTCTTCTATGTTTTCCTCAATCTTTACTTTCAACATCACCAACAGAAAATTATTAATTTGTTTGATAACAATGACGATTTCGATTTTTCGATTGTGAGCTTTCCCTTTCTTGATATTAACATCCATATTTCCCTACCTGCAAAGTACGCGTGTGAGCGCAGGCTTGCTTCAAATATTCACTATTGATATGCCAAATATTAACAGATAAACTAGCAACATGTGGTTGCGAGAAGTGCAGGTTGATGCAGGCGACGGGCAAGTGTTATTGTCGCCACCGTGTTCACATCAGAAAAGATGTTCTAATTCTTTGTGCGATATAAATATCGACGAAACAGTTGTATGATATTATGATGCATTTTTGGCATACTCTATCTATTACTCAATATTGCAAGTTGCAATAACGTTTCTTTCTTTGATTTTGCTCAATAATGTGTCGTATGGCGTAGTAAGCACTACTAATTTATAGATTATGGTTCGAATTACCGGTTTTGCTAACATTTTTCTTATAAAATATTTTATCTTATATTTTACTCTAGAAATTGTAATAGTTTTTGTTACTTCTTTAACCATTATTTCTGTGTCGAATAACGTTGTTGTTGATACTTCGGGATTTTTATATAAAACATTAAAAAAAATTATTTTTTACTTGTAAAAATGTAAAAAATTTTACCTACAACGCCATAATTCTGTGAATGTCACTATCGCGTCTTTATGTTATGCTTTGTTACCATGGTTTGTTCTATTTTCCTGGTTCCACTCATGAAGAAATAGAAGAAGGAAACAAAACCAACAACTTTATGAACACAAATTTATTGTATGTATTTAAGTTGAAAGCATGCATGAATGTCTGTGCGATCCTAGTAAACCCATTCGTGACAGGTAGAATCCTTGGAAATAAATTAAATAAATTATCAATTCTACCCAAGTAAAAAAAAGAAAAGTGAAAAATTAAAGTTAATACGTTTCTTGTGTGTGCATTATTATTTTTTTATTTATAAAAAAAACCCAACCGATCTGGATTTACTACGAACAGGAAACATAAAAAAAGAAAAGAAGAAACCCACGTGACCTGTGACATCAAATGTACAGGCGAATCGTATTTAGTCTTTACGTACACCATTGACAATACAATCTCTCGATTCGGTACCTTTTTCTGTTAGTTTCTAATTTAATTAGCAGAACAATCCTTACTTATTTATGAATCTCAATTATATTTTACTTTCTCGGTTCCAGACTTTTTAAATATTCATTCTAATATTCATTAAGATACAATGTGAAACATTTGTACCATTAGACCGTACATAATTCTTTTCTGTACGTGTTCCCTTACAATATCGGTTTCATGCAAAAAATAAATTGTTTTTAAAGAAGAAATATTGAACATCGAGGTAACAATGCATGTTGTAAAATAAATTGTGTTTATGGTGAAACTCTTCATAAATGGTACGACCACAACTATATACATTTAATAAGGTTGGGCGAATTTGCCGAAGGGCATTGTAAGATAGTCTGTCAGTGTAATGATATGAAATGGATATGATAGCATTGACTGCCATTTTTGTCATTTACTGTGTCTATGTGCATTGCGGGTGTCTTCCAGCGTGTCAACCAACACATATATGTACACACCCACATATAGAAACCCACACCAACACCAACATACACGCACCTACACCAATACACTCATCCAACCCACTCATACAGCAACCAACCCAGACCCACATATGTATACACACATACAGATCACATTCTCCCCACATCCCTATACACAGGCTCGCTTACCACCCCCTCCTTCCACGCAAATCAAGTCAGACGTACAACCATGTTCACGACCATTCCACTCTCGGACATACCTCACGTTTACTCACACACTAAATACATACACACATCAACTTCCTACAACTTTGCTATGTTTTTAAAAGAGCATGACTCTTCCAACGTTCCTTTCTAGCTTCGCTACCATGGTCTGCGACAGTAAATATCAGCAATGTTGTTTTGGATTCCTTCTGACAGATCCAATGTAACTTTTGGATAGGGATAGAAACGTTATCCTTATGTTAAGAAAACTTCTTACAATCACGCGTTCGTAACATTCTTACAATAAATTACAACATATGACATGCAAATGGACAACTTACAGAATAATGTGATTTAAAATAGTTAGGTGCAAGCTAATGTACAGTAACAAGAAATGCACTTGGAAAATACCATGGTCTTAATAGCGGCTATGTGATAAAGTAAACACATGTACATATTGTTATGTATTATTATGCTACTCTTAAAGTCTGAAAAATGTAATGTTACGTCTTTTAAAGAAGTTTTGCCAAACAATGCTATTCTAACAACTCATCGGACAGGAGATACCTACACTTCGTAAAGAAACAAACTGGAGGTCTTGATTGTATTTTAAATTTGATAAGGTAAATTCACCACAAGGATGTTATGTTTTTCATCAAACAAAGTCCATAATAAGAACGTTATTTCCATAAAACATTAATAAACTTGTACGTTTTGTAACATTTTGATACAGAGCACATGAAATTTGTATTAAATATTTGCTATAATATACGTCTACATGTAATCCGATATGATAATTTTAACTACAAATGATGGCATTTAGCTTCTTAACTTTAAACGTTAAATCAGGTTCTGAACCTTAACCACTTGAAAACCCTTTCCTCCAACGTCCCTCAAAATTATTGACCTTTGCCCTTGTCCTGGACCTCATTATAGCGTTTTTCATGCGAGCAGACAGTGTCCTTGAATTTTTCGCAGGAGTCCGTGACGATTTTGGCGCAGTTTTTAATTTTCTTGGAATCATAATTTGTGTTGGTTTGCTTGACATGCTTTTTAGCTGTTTTGGTTTTATCTTTTGTTTGGGTTTGCTTGACATGGTTTTTAACTTTCTTGGTATCATCTCTTGTGTTGGTTTGCTTGACATGGTTTTTAACTTTCTTGATATTGTCTTTTGTGTGGGTTTTCTTACGTGGCAACTTCGCTTAATTACACATCGGCGACACCGTCTCCCACCCCGATAGGTAATAGACAGGACACGACATGCCTTTGGTATGGAAGCCGGACACCGAGATTTCAGACAGGAAGTGACGCGAGAAGAAGGGACAATCCTTGTCCTATGGATCACAGTCGCTTCCGTTGGTGGTTTGACCTTGCGTGTCAAAAGACTCTCTCTTGTAGTAGGTCTCACATTCGGGCCAATTTTACGGATTTTGTTTGTGGAGGCCACGGCCATCCTGCTGGAAATTAGTCCTGCAAGTACAGACAGCATCAGTTAAAAAAGACTATTCAAAAATTGGTTTTAACTTTTTGAAACAAATATTCTTTGATCAAATAAATAATTTATGTAACGTATATATGTGCTGGCGTTCATCAAATATTCCATTATATTCTTATCATTTAATTGAAGCAAATCTTAATCTGTTCAATGTATTGTTTCGCAAAAACAAATCAATTATGCATAGTCCAATATTAGTGTTAACATGAATAAAACAATGATAATCACTCCTAGTTTTTTCCAAATATTAATGGCATTACTGTATACAAGGAAACTCTTGCCCCTTTAATCCTTTTATGGTAAATATCTTTCTGCACTGTGTACATTTTGGTTGTTCACATGTATTGATTAAGTGGAATATTCAAAGTGTTTTATACATTGCTACTGGCTGGCTTGATGGAAACTTGCACTCAAAACCGAAGGCAAAAAGATGAAAGTGAAACCGCGGTGAAATGTTCCTGTATACCGTGTTACTGTATGGTTTCCTTAGTCTGTTTTTATTTACGTAGCTGACATAAACATATTCTATTTTCAGAACATGGTAAACAAGGTGTACGATGTTTGACACATATACAACGACAACTATGAGAAAGGCGGGCCGTTGACAGGACACAAGGAAGCGCCGTCAGGCCAAACATTAAAGTAGACGTTAACAGCGACTCTACAAGGACGTGGCCATGTCCTTCCTGACGAATCGTCGTGATTATAATATTCCACCAATCATCAATGGTTTAACATAACGGCCAATGACAATATATACCGTGATTTATATGGGGAAAGGCCGCTACTACCAACACAGTGTTAGTATACGCTCTATATGACCTTGTATTGTTATGCTTTTTTCATTCTTGCATATACATGTCAAATCATTTATAGGAAGCGGACATGATATACATTGTATAAATATGATAAATTATTATAGCGAGTGTCATGTTTCGCGTCATCCTGTTCGTCACTAGCGGTAAAGCTCAATGTCGCCGTATTATTCATTTACAGTTTGGTGTAATAAACGATCAACGCCAATTGATTCTTCAACAGGATAGATGGGGTCTACGTGTCTCGTATATTAGTATCATCAATTTTGGTGGTCACGCACAATCCTTGTTTATGATAGGTCTAATGGTAGTATGCCGGGCTCGTGCGAAGGGTCGAGGGTTCGAATCCCGTCATTTCACTTTTTTGTATCATTGAACGAAGATACTTTACTCCACTTGTTCAATTCTACTCAGCTGAAAATGAGTAGCTGGTTGGGCAGTGTTGGAATTTTCGAATGTTAGCTGTGAGCGCTTAAATGCCAGCACCGGCTGCATGCTTCCCGGGAAGTTGAGAAATATATTGGCTGGTTGCAAAGGCCCAATAACCACGGATAATAATTTGTGAATCGATATGAGACGCCCACGGAGGATGTGATAAAGCGGTATATGATAAAGTCAAATTATTATTACAATAATTATCTTAAATCCTTTTAAAAGGAGGTGGTAAATTTGGAAATGTGCACATCGCATATTTATAAACTAAGCAGAAAACGAAGTTACTACAGAAGTTGTTAATGTTTTAGATATCGTCATTGGATTAGTAACAGTGAAGGTTATTTAAGGTCATAGGAGTGTATTGATAAACAGAAACAGGAAGTACATCCCTAGTTGAAAATCCAATGTAGGGAGATAGTATCATAATTTCAGCATATTCTAATGTTTAATATTAAATTTATAAATATTGTATGTTTATTAGTGACAGAACAGCGTGTTTTCTTAATATTAAAGTATTTCAAAGCAATCCAGGCATTAATTCAGTTGTTTTTTTTATCAATGAGTAACATGTGTCCATTTTTCTGTACTTCAGGAAACCGGCTACCTATTTCACTACTGTGAAGTTTTTCAAGAAAGATTACTCTTACATGCAATTACTATGTATATATGGTTTTATTATAAAATCGCAATTTTTAATCGTTCATAGATAATTAATTTTACACAATTTCAGCATTTATTAAATTGATATACATTAATGCAATTCTAATCTATGTCAGTATCATTTTTATTGATATTATTTTGTAAAAAAATTGTGTTTCATTTTTTTTCAAAATTCACTCCTTTTTACATAATTTCCATTTAAAATCCTTTTTTTTTTAAGCAGAAAATGTTCTTTACTTCAAAGCAATATAAGTACAAAATTTGAAGAAATTCTATTGAGAAATGGTGACACAATCCTATTATCCTAAGAACGTTCCTACATGTGTGTTATGTATGTGTGCATGTGTGTATGCATGCTGGAAGTGGTATGTTGGTGTAGTGATACCACTTTTTAAGCCCTACTGGGCACATTTTTTACCAAGTCACATTACAACATGACAACTGTATAAAAACAACTGCCAAGTTGGTATTATTGGTAGTAGATTTAGTCCTGCTGATAACTGTATTCGTTGATGTAAACAAATTACCGGAAGAAGAAAAAAATAATTCCATTGTTGAGAGCAGCAAAAATCAATGAGGCGCGCGACTGCAGATGTTCATATTTGCACCTGTTGTATCATAACAATATGTTTGGCATACTATCTGTAATCAATCAAGGGTATCCCAATAATCATATTTACTTTGTCTGTCTGATTGACACCTTATGATTTAACTGGTCAGGCGTTTCTCTTTTGCTACGTGGCTTTGTGACGTCGTGACATCTTCATTATTTTCTTATCATTAAACGGCCGTTATTATTGCGGATATCCCCAATCAATGTTTCTCATTTTTGTGTATTTATTGACAATCAACAGCATCACCTTATTTTTAAAACAGATGAATTTTGGTAATGTTGGCGTCAAAGATAAAAATAATTATACAAGTGTCATATCGAAAAGGTATATTACAGAAATGCTGTTTGTGGTTTCATAATATACACACAATATATATTACTGATAGGAAATTAATCAGAACTGATTCAATGTTTGGACATTCATGCTATTTGGTGGTTTGACGCATTCCTTCGTTTCAACAATGGTTTAGACCAATTAAGATTTCGAACAGTTTGGCCTCTGGCATCACCGATGAGTTCTAGAACAACGACACAGCTCTACAGAGTAGTGTAATACCTTTTTTTTTTTTTTTTTTTTTTTTTTTTTTTCCCNGGTGCAAGCACATCTGTGTCGTACGTTAATTTTTAATCTTTTTATGACTATATGACGATAGATCTATTCACAATATTTAATATTGAGTTTTGATTGGAATATCATTTTTTACAAACTAGAATGTTTTCACCAGTTATCTGTGAAACATCAATTTGTTAAATTTACCATGCGAATGTTTTTTTTATTATGAATAAAATAATTCAAGTCGTAGTAATTAATTCCTGATGATTCTAGGATACATTTTATAATCATCTCCCACTATTTGCTTTGAGTTTATTTCTTTAGAAACGAACCGTGTTGATATATTTATATGTTAAAATATCTTTTTTCTGTCTATTTGTCCTTTGACAGTACAGGTGTTCTAATTGTTGAAATTTGTTTAAGGCAAATCAGTTCTATTCAAGGAATATTTCATTAGTTCTTGTTCATAACATCGATCATTTCATTTCCATTCTTTCATTTACAATTGAACAGCGTTTCTATATTACATTTTTTGGTATTAGACTGGCAATGAAATCCCTTTCTTCATATTGTTATTTCTATGATACACCATTGTCAATATCTATCATGACAGTTATTCTTCAACTTCAAAATTGACCATCACAGATCAAACTTGATATTGTGAATTGAAAAAGTTAAAAGATTGAACAATGCTTCATATGGAAAATTGATGCCAGAGCTCTGAAGGATATTAGTGCAAAATAGTTACCTGATGGACTAGATAATTAAAGACATTTACAAAACAAATAAAGATGCAAGATTTACATGCCTAATAATGTAAATAGAAACAAGAGCAATATCCAAATGTTTAGCCACTACATAGGAAATACCAAAACACTAAAAATAAACGGAAGAGGAGCATGTATATATAAAATGCTGCGGAGGAAAAAGTGTTTATTGCACCACATCTAGCAACAGGCATTATGTTTTCTTTAATATCCGCCAGAGTATAAGTACGTATGACGTCATAATGAACATGCCATGGTATAAAATGGAATTTCAGGTAGAAATCATAAATAACGACAATCGTAAAACTATGTAAGAATAATAAAATGTTTATTATGTGTGTTACCTGAAACCTTACCTTGACAACACGGCTGGTATATAACAGTCACAATGGAAAGTATCATCAGAAGCCGAAAACCTCCAGGCACCAGTCGAAGAAAATCCATGACGGCAAAGTATTTAAATTAAGTTTATTCGCCCAATTTCACACAGGTACTAATTCACACAGGTAAAAAATATTCAAACCACAAATCCCGTGTCTATGCCAGAAGATACTTTTCCAATGTTGATTACTAATATACAAGTACTGAAGTTCTTCTGAAGATACTTTTCCAATGTTGGTTACTAATATACAAGTACTGAAGTTCTTCTGTATCTGCTCGTTAATGTCATTCAGTGTTAAAAGTACCTTCTTCTTTCGAAAATTAAAGCAATGTTCATCTTTCCAGAATCACGTTGGTTCACGTCCTGTCCTGTGGACGGCCAAAGTATTAGTAGCAGGTGTAGTACAGTCTAACGATCCGAGACAGCGATACTGCATTAATCGTCAACAATAATTGCACAGTAATGACTCGGCAGCAATAAAACAGGGTTTTAATGCGCAAACTGTTTTCGGTAAATAACACCGGGATGTGTGTTTTTCTGCTGATGACTTCCGGTCATGTTTATCGAGTGTTTTGATGTATAGCGTTTCTCTGATACACACTAGACCTGTACAAACACATCGTGTTGGTATGTAGACCTGCTATGTTACCTGTGTTAATCATTTTGTCTTAAGGAGTGTTCATGTGCTAAGGTGTTCAAGATAATGATAAAATAATTTACATCTTAATTTAACGATATTTTGGATGATGAAAAAACATTATAAAATGCATATTTAGTATACTTACAAGGTTAGTAGAAACAAAATTTTCTTCGGGTTTTTCTTTGAATTCTTTATCTTTAAATTTATTCCATTCATATGCATTCATCCGAACTAGTTCTTCATATTTGAAGGTGAACAATTGAATAAGCGTTTCAAAAACATTTTCAAACAAGTAGTACGTTGGAGGTTTGTTTCAATTAGAAGTTCCTGTACTTTTTAACCCCTGATTAAGATTTATGACCACAGGAGACGGAAATGATCTGTACTAGACGAACTATTTACTGCAGTATATATAGCAGTAAACATTTTAAACTACTGATTAAATTTTCACGTAGATTTATTGTCTAAGCTGTGTAATTACTCCGCAATGCAATATTTGTTTTATAACAAAATTTATGTTATAATAAATTATGTTTACAAGTAGTTAGCTCTGCACATTTTCAAGTTCAAAAGTGTCAGCTAATCTCTAATTCCTTAAGAATGATATTTGACTAAACAGATTAGCATGAAGATAATGTTGACGAAATTGATTAAGTGAAACTGAATATTTGTATAAAATACATATTACGGTAAAATTTCTACACATGTATCACAAACTGAGGTATAGTTAGTTTTTGAGAATAAGGTACGTTTGCGAACACGAAAAGTCTATATATTGTAGCTTTGAAGTGTTTTCTCGTTTATGCATTGACATTCATAAACTAAACTAGACTGTTTGCAAAAAAAAAAAAAAAAAAATCACGAAAAAAAAAAAAAAAGTAGAGGCTACCTTAGTATCAATTAAATCGTAATTCGACAATCGAAATCGATTAAACTGGAGCAAAATTATTAACAAAGTAAATATATTCACATGTAGACCCCGAAACAATTAAAGGATAATAAGCCATGTGTTATGGAAGAGTAAGTGTATTATTTTGTTTTCCATATCATAGATGACATGCTGTATGATGGTATTGACAATGTAATCAGCGTTTAAAACTCTTCAAAAACGCATACTTTACACGAACGATGGCGCCAAACGATTGTGACGTGTTGTTGGAATAATCTGTAGTTTGTGCAAAAACATACAGATATGTTCATTCTATTGACAACATCGTAACCTCAATTATAGCCACGACATTGATAGTGACGGATTATTGATTCCGACTGATTGGTTTTAAACCATACCGGAAACAAATCCACTGCATCAGTTGGACTGGATCAGTATGTACATCACAGTTGCACCACGACTGACGAAGTCGGGTTGGCATATGTTCAATTGTTGCTTTTTTCATGGACAATTTCGTTAAAAAAACAAGCAATAAAACCAGATTATTACAAAATATGATTAAATTTATTGAACAAAATAGTCACCTTTTAGAAAGATGTATTTTATATGGTGATATATCCCAAATCTTAATGTTTATTCATATTTTATAACAAATACTATTTTATCTCATATATGCTATATCTAATTAAGATTATCTAATTGGATTCAGTTTAGCTCATGGCGTAAACATAGTTGCGGTTTTTGGCCTCACGCGCTCGAGTTTCCCAAAGTTTACTTTAATCTCATTTGTGGCATCTTTATAAAACTGGGCAAGAGGTATCATACTTGGGTTTCGACAAAGATGTCACGTGGTCCTGATATTATTGACTGTATTGCTATTGTTCTACATCAAAGAATCATGTTTCCATCAACAAGAGCAATGCATGTATATTATTGGTAGTTATATGATAGACACACATTAATCAGATCATTTGGTGGATAATCAAGATGAAAATATATCCATATTATAATTTCTTGGAATAAAACCTATATAATACAAATATATGACAAGTGTATATAAGCACAAGACCTCGTTCGCCCAATCGTCTTCAACGTATTCAAACCGTGATTTTTTCTGACTCTTACTTTTAAACAACAAGTATATAACCAGTTATATTACCGTTTGATTGAAACAGTCGTGAAGCTTTTTAAATGATGCATACTGATTGAATGACATATACAACATTATCTACTTCTTTTGATGACGTATTCAACAGTCCACTTATTGTGTGACGTAATACAGTTTACTTATTGAAAGGTATACAACATTCTACATATTAAATGACGTAAACAATTTACAAACTAAATGACGTGCACAAGTGTTAACAAATGACGTGTACAGGTCTACTGAATAAATGATGTTGGATTAGATCAGAGCAGGGTAGTGTCCGTCTTGATAGAGGAGAGTGAGGAGTTTGATTCCATGCTTTTGATGTCGCCCGCCCGTTTGGGTTTTGCATCCATTGTCATTGGAAGACCTGCGTAGATCACAAATAATACGTTATTTACACAACGACCGGTACAACAAAAAGCAAAATAAGTTTTACCGAAACACCATCCTCGATAATCTACGGGTTACGCTCAGTTCGCTCTCTGCACCCCTGGAATATGTCATAGCCATATCGGTAGTTCAGTGTGTGCCAGCTTGTGGCTTGCACGAGAAGACCAGCGTGAATCGATGGCGTTACGGTAAAATTGACTGGCTTTAAAGTCGGATGTCGCTCCCTGTAACCTTCAATGGACAGATATTAGCCTAGCGATTGGTCAGGTTTTTTTTACCAAAAGCAAATTAAAAAGCTAACCGCGTGCCTTGAATTTTGCTATTATATTTCAGGTGTGGGGGAGCGACAGTGAGCGTAACCCCTGCGGTATCGAGGATGCCGAAACACAAAAGGTATCGAAAAGAAGCTAAAAGTATTACTATTGTCCGAGTGCATTCTAAGCACCAAACGCCAAGTATGAGCAAGTCAAACGAAACTTTACCAATTGCTCTGTAACTTTCAATAAGTATTTACATTTCATTTGTTCAAACCTAGTATCCAACTGGTTAACATATCCTTAAGATTATTGTTGGAATTTAATGAAGCGTGATTTAGAATTTGCCTGAACTAACACGCAGATAGTTTAAAACGTTAAGTAGGGAACAGTCATGTTCCTACTCTCTAACCTTCTTAGGAGTTTTGAAATAAGAATCACATCATGGATTGACAAAATTCGACTGTGCAAAGTCCTGATGAACAGGTTCCTACTACATTGAATATTTTCACAACATTTTGATTATTAAAAACGAAACGTATAAGTAATAACAGGATGAATAATACATCAATGTACAGCACTGTCTTAAATTAGTAACTAGGAGGTGAGAACCAAACGCATAGCATCTGGTCAATATACACGAATAGTAAAATAAAATAATTGAAACAGTTTCTCATTCTGACGACTGACCTCACACAAAAGTTCAAGTCGATCGAAATTGCATGTATGTTGGAGTGAAATGATGGATAACCCAACTTAATTGTGTAATATAATTTTCTTTTTAGGTTAGTTACGTTTTGAGAATTGAAATAAAAGATATACATATAAACTTTATCAATTTTAAAACAGTTTAAAACAAATTTTTCTACTTAGTATTAATCACTATTCGTGGCTCAGACGGAAGAGCGCAATGGGTCTTAATGTATATAGGCTACTAAAGAAAAACCCACGTGGTCGGGCAGATGACCCAATACCTTTTTAAGCCAATTGGGTAATTGAGCCCCTGCCCTCTTTGTGAAATGCAACTGCGCTATCCACTGCGCCATCCGATCAACGTTTAATGTATGCTTTTCTGGTAAGTATGATTACACGTGTGGTTAATCCTAAATCCAGAGCGTTAATGGAGTATTACAAACATACTCATATAATAGAATGATGCAGCTTTAAAAACTAATGATACATCAAATAATTTTGATGGTGTTAGATATTATAAAGCAAAACTGTTATCGTTGATATTTTTGCAATGCTACCAAAACAAGCTTAAATTGTGATACGCTATTTTTAAGCAATACTTACCTCCCTTTTCTCCTGTTTTGCAATAAAACATGTTCGATTATGAAAAAGTTGAACAAATGAGTAATTGCAATAAGATATATGAAAAAGTCTTTTCATCATGAATACAATGAAATGGGTAGGTATTCTCTTGTATACCTTTATGCTTTCTTTTTATCCAAAACAATTGGTTAAAGTTTATCTCTCCAATCAACATACGTTTTTGGATATATGTGCAGTTTACACAAAGAAACGTTTCATGCTAAATGATAATTTTGTAAATTTCAATTTTTGTTGGAATTATGTACCCAATAGTATTCTGAATGCAATGAGAGAGAGAGAGAGAGAGAGAGAGAGAGAGAGAGAGAGGTTAAACAATCTGAAGTCCAGGGTTTAAATCCCGGTCTAACTCAGCTCATGTTTCAAACTCAGTAGAACACTGTTGTGGATTACATTTTGTTTTTCATCTTTATTACTTTTTCTTAAAAGTCCCGGTATATATAGGTTTCTTTTTAGAGAAATGAACATAACACAACCACAGATGACTTCACCTTCAAACGTTGTAGATATAGTTTGCCAAAAACGAATTACACCGCAGCAAACACCTGCTTAGAATGGTTTTACAATTGTTATTATAGTAATGCCAGAAAACGCAATATCCGATGCATAGTAACACTTCTAAGCATGTGTACGGGGATCCTTATTTTTTTTCCCCATTTTTTGTCAAAGATGTCAATGTAAATTTATCACCAAATATAAGTCTTCAACTGTGGGAAATTAACAATCATCTTGCTTACCACTGATGGTAGTGAAAAGTAGTTGACTATAAGAATGACCTTAATTATTGCACGGACCACTGGAAGTGTGTGGGAGGCTAGAGGTTACATTCACAATACGGCTTATCAATGCTCATGCTTACCGATCATTGTATTATGGAAGGTAGTTGTGGACTTCTTGATCATAGACCGGAGTGTGTCCCCTTTCTCTTCCCAACCATGTCCGTACGCTTCTACTGGGTAGGCAGGCTCGCCGTGTTTGGGTATGTCTAAACCTGAAAGGAACCAAGGTAAACATTTTAGGACGCCAGTGGAACTGTTTGAAACAAGAAAATGTCAGTTATATGATTATTTCACCGTAATGAATTCCGAAGACATTTGAAAGGGAATGTAGTTACCAAGTAAAAATAATAATAATAATAATAATAATAATAATAATAATTCGAGGTTCTTATATACCGCTTTATCACAGCCTAGTTTGTAGGTCGTCTCAAAGCGGATCATAAATTGTTATCCGTGGTTATAGGGCCTTTGCAACCAGCCAAGATCTTTCTCAACTCCATGGGGAGCATACAGCCGGTGCTGCCATTTCAGCACTCACAGCTAGCATTCAACAATTCTAACTCTGCCCAACCACGTACTCATTAACAGCTGAGTAGACTAGAACAAGCGGAGTAAGGTATATTGCTCAAAGATATAACACAGTGCCGTGACGTGAGTCTGGGGAGTCGTGAGACTATCGGGCCTCCTGATCTAAGAAGATCTAACGGAAGTGAATACTTCTAACTGCAGTTAATAACAAGCGAATATCGAGTGTCAACACAATCGAACTTAAAGCCAATAAATCTAGGACGAAATATGAACAAAGGGAAGTACCAGGTGTGCCGGAAGGGTAAGCATATTATCTTCCACAAATCAAAAGTTTGGCATTAAGCAAACATACACAAATAAATCATCTATATTTACGAAAGGGGAATCGAGTAATGAAAATGTAAGTCATTCTCAATCAAAATCTTTCCCAGTTATTTGTGTTTCTTAATTTTCGATATTGTAAACTAGATTGTGTAAAATGCTATTTTAACTCGATTTGTGATTTCTTGCAATTATCAAACGAGGCATCCACTCCCAGAAATAAGGCAGTGAAAAATTTGGTAAGAAAAATGGGAGGATTTTTTTTTTCTCACACACTTTCAAGCTATGTGAAGATAGGCGAGTTCGATAAGTTCTGTAAAATCTGTGTGATAGACTACCTGTTAAAAGAGTTAAAAGTTAAGACTCCTGTTATAATTCCCTATAGCAGTTACCTCCATGTTTTCTGAATCTGTATTTAAAGATCTGAATACATGTTTGACTGCATACTGTTGTGAATCGATGTCTGCTTTACATCAGTCTGTAAGCAGTCTTAAAGTATCAATAGCACCAGGGCCATCTTCTTTATGACGTTTGATACCTAATCGCACAAATTTCTTACTCTTACCTTTCATTTCATATTCAAATGATACTCGCAGGAGGTTTAGCTTTTTTAGGATGAAGAACATTAGCACACAAAGGATACCACCCCATGCAACAATGGCCAGTACTCCCACCAGCTGCCAGGCGAGATACTGCAAAAACAGAAACACTGCTAGGTGACGCGACACATAAAGACGGGGAATTATGGTAGTTTACCGATTAAATATCCAGGCATCAGTTTCACGAACGTTCCATTCATTAAGCAAATGAAATTGTTTGATTTAGGTTTTGTTTTTCTTTACATAATTATCTGGTTATGTTTTGATTGAAAAAAACTGAATTTCAGAATTTTCGTTAAGCCAACTTCATGACCAGAAATACGAAGAAAAAATCACGTGACAATATTTTAGATGCATGCTGATACAGAAAGCCTAAAAGGCATTTTTACTGCAAAAAATTACTATGTCGTCTCTTTAGAACTCATATTTAATACTAAAGTTCAAACAAATTTAAATAAATTATATCTAGGGTGATTCAAAACAGAAGGACCGGTCGTCGTCTAACTGGGACCATGAGACCAGCTACATTTTTTAACAAAAAAAACCCACGTCATCTTGAATTGAAATATGACAATGGACAGAAGTTGCATCACTTGCTTCTGATTATTCATTTTCTTGCTATTAAGATATCAATAAATTTGACAAAAAGGAAATGAAAAAACGTTGAATAGAAAAAGATAACTTCATATGCCAGCTGGGTACACGAATATGGTATTAGTTCGGTAAAGCATACCTCATTATATAAATACTACATTCATTAGAGTTTGACAGTGTCTAGAGTCACCCCGAAGGTATCACCGTCACCTAAGGCGAAGCCACTCGTTGCTAAGGCGGTGGGAAGCACTCTTCCATTAAACCAATATTAAAGCGAATGTGACAGTGTGACATGAACAGTTCGTCTCAACCAATCAGATTACAGGATTTTCACTAGAGGAATAATAAATGAAGTATCATCGATTACATATTTATGTACGGTCACTTATATCGTTACTGTGCCAAGAACACATATCTCACACACATTTTATGGATGATGACAATGACGTTGAGGATGATGATGATGGCTATGAGGAACGATAGTTTGAACGTTTAGTATCAGGATGCTGATGAGATAGTGATGCTGATGATGATGTTGATGATGATGATGATGCTGATGATGATGATGATGATGATGGTAATGATGTTGATGATTCTGAGAATGAGGAAGATGATAATGGTGATGATGATGATGATGAATGTAAGGAAGATGATGATGGTGATGAGGAAGATGACGACAACATTCAGGATGATGTTGATGATGAGTGAATTAAGTATCAAAATGTGTGTTAGAGAGTGTGAAAATGAAAATACCTGTTCTGTACCTATATTATGAAAAACTGTTGGAAAAATAAATTGACATAACAATCATATTCAAATAAAGTCATGATACTTAAATTTGTTTTGAAATGCTATTCGATAAATCGTATTAAGTCTTACCGCCATTATGACGTCAGACCAACACGTGACTTACCAGTCCTGAGCGTGTGTCCCAGTGATAAAGGATGCCGAAGTCTGTTGAGAAGAATGCGACCGCGATCACCCCCCAAGTGCCTCCGCCGAAGTGAACTGAAATTATTAAAAAAAATACATATAAATAGTGTGCTCTCAGTGGAGTTACGTCCGGTGAAAGTGTGCACCAATAACATGTAATGTTTGAAACAAAATATGGCAGGTTTTAATTGCAAATAGGATTATGGTCGCCTTTTAACCTCCATCTACAGGGAATAGAATTCGTTAGAGCGGCCAAATGGGAAGCTGGGATCGCTGGTTCTATCCTCTGGTGGAAGAACACAACGTTCTTACCGTAACACAATGGTATCCTTTACCCTCCCTGTGGTGTCAGGGAGTTAAAACTTGGGGTGATGAGTGTTACGGGGTGAACACTTTAAAAATGGGTTTGGTTTGGTTTTATATTGTTTAACGTCCTATCAATAGTTAAGGTCATTTAAGGACGTGCCTCCATGTGTGTCGTGTATGCGTGCTTGCGTGTGTGTGTGCAGGAGGCAGGATATAAAACCTCAATCCGATTGAGGCAGATGGAGGTTCGATTGAGGCAGATTGAGGCAGATTGAGGTTCGATTGAGGCAGATTGAGGTTCGATTGAGGTTTCGATTGAGGCAGATTGAGGTCCGATTGAGGTTTCGATTGAGGTTCGAATGAGGCAGATTGAGGTTTGATTGAGATAAGATTGAGGCAGATTGAGACATGATTGAGGTCATCGATTACGGACCGCTACATTTTCTATACAAGGCACCGACTTACCAGAGGTTTCGGCAGTACATAGACCTAGTCAATGCTGGAAACATCGACGTTTGTGAAGTCTCTGTTAACAGTATTATCTGTCGAGTAGGATTAACATACCAAGTCATCGTTAAAAAGTCAAGGGTGAGGTGAAAGTTTGTTTACGGGAAGATGGAAAAAGTTTACAAATAAGTGGTGACTTCTTCAACAAATTGTTGTTTCAATCGGAGAGCCTGGCGATTCCTACATGGTGAGATGGGATAGTAACCTCATACTTAGGACTAGGTCATGTAGGATGGCGATTCCTATATGGTGAGATAGGATAGTAACCTCATCCTCAGGGTGAGGTCATGTAGGATGGCAATTCCTATATGGTGAGATAGGAGGACTAGGTCATGTAGGATGGCGATTCCTACATGGTGAGATAGGATAGAAACCTCATCCTTAGAATGAGATCATGTAGGATGGCGATTCATATATGGTGAAATAGGATAGTAACCTCATCCTTAGGGTGAGGTCATGTAGGATGGCAATTCCTATATGGTGAGATATGATAGTAACCTCATCCTGAGAATGAGGTCATGTAGGATGGAGATTCCTATATGGTGAGATAGGATAGTAACCTCGTCCTTAGGATTAGGTAATGTAGGATGGCAATTCCTATATGGTGAGAAAGGATAGTGACCTCATCCTTAGAATGAGGTAATGTAGGATGGCGATTCCTAAATGGTGAGATAGGATAGTAACCTCGTCCTTAGAATGAGGTCATGAAGGATGGCGACTACTATATTGTGAGAAAGGATAGTAACATCGTCCTTAGAATGAGGTAATGTAGGATGGCGATTCCTATATGGTGAGATAGGATAGTAACCTCATCCTTAGGATGAGGTCATGTAGGATGGCGATTCCTATATGGTGAAAGAGGATAGTAACCTCATCCTTAGAATGAGGTAATGTAGGATGGCGATTCCGATATGGTGAGATAGGAGAATAACCTCGTCCTTAGAATGAGGGCATGAAGGATGGCGACTACTATATTGTGAGAAAGGATAGTAACCTCGTCCTTAGAATGAGGTCATGTAGGATGGCGATTCCTATATGGTGAGATAGGAGAATAACCTCGTCCTTAGAATGAGGTCATGAAGGATGGCGACTACTATATTGTGAGAAAGGATAGTAACCTCGTCCTTAGAATGAGGTAATGTAGGATGGCAATTCCTATATGGTGAGAAAGGATAGTGACCTCATCCTTAGAATGAGGTAAAGTAGGATGGCGATTCCTAAATGGTGAAATAGGATAGTAACCTCGTCCTTAGAATGAGGTCATGAAGGATGGCGATTCCTATATGGTGAGATAGGAGAATAACCTCGTCCCTAAAATGAGGTCATGAAGGATGGCGACTACTAGATTGTGAGAAAGGATAGTAACCTCGTCCTTAGAATGAGGTAATGTAGGGTGGCAATTCCTATATGGTGAGAAAGGATAGTGACCTCATCCTTAGAATGAGGTAATGTAGGATGGCAATTCCTATATGGTGAGAAAGGATAGTAACCTCATCCTTAGAATGAGGTCATGTAGGATGGCGATTCCGATATGGTGAGATAGGAGAATAACCTCGTCCTTAAAATGAGGTCATGAAGGATGGCGACTACTATATTGTGAGAAAGGATAGTAACCTCGTCCTTAGAATGAGGTAATGTAGGATGGCAATTCCTATATGGTGAGAAAGGGTAGTGACCTCATCCTTAGAATGAGGTAATGTAGGATGGCGATTCCTAAATGGTGAAATAGGATAGTAACCTCGTCCTTAGAATGAAGTCATGAAGGATGGCGATTCCTATATGATAAGATAGGATAGTAACCTCGTCCTAATAATGAGGTCATGTAGGATGGCGATTCCTATATGGTGAGATAGGATAGTAACCTCATCCTTAGAATAAGGTCATGTAGGATGGCGATTCCTATATGGTGAGATAGGAAAGTAACCTCATCCTTAGAATGAGGTCATGTAGGATGGCGATTCCGATACGGTGAGATAGGAGAGTAACCTCATCCTTAGAATGAGGTCATGTAGGATGGCAATTCCGATATGGTGAGATAGGATAGTACCCTCATCCTTAGAATAAGGTCATGTAGGATGGCGATTCCGATATGGGGAGATAGGATAGTAACCTCATCCTTAGAATAAGGTCTTGTAGGATGGCGATTCCTATATGGTGAGATAGGACAGTACCCTCTTCCTTAGAATGAGGTCATGTAGGATGGCGATGCCTGTATGAGGAGGTAGGATGGTAACCTCGTCCTTAGAATGAGGTCATGTAGGATGGCTATTCCGATATGGTGAGATAGGAGAGTAACCTCATCCTTAGAATGAGGTCATGTAGGATGGGATAGGATAGAAACCTCATCCTTAGAATGAGGTCATGTAGGATGGCGATGCCTGTATGAGGAGGTAGGATGGTAACCTCGTCCTTAGAATGAGGTCATGTAGGATGGGATAGGATAGAAACCTCATCCTTAGAATGAGGTCATGTAGGATGGCTATTCCGATATGGTGAGATAGGAGAGTAACCTCGTCCTTAGAATGAGGTCATGAAGGATGGCGACTACTATATTGTGAGATAGGATAGTAACGTCATCCTTAGAATGAGGTCATGTAGGATGGCGATTCCTATATGATGAGATAGGATGGTAACCTCGTCCTTAGAATGAGGTCATGTAGGATGGCGATTCCTATATAGTGAGATAGGATAGTAAACTCATTCTTAAAATGAGGTCATGTAGGATGTCGATACCTATATGATGAGATCGGATAGTAACCTCGTCCTTAGAACGAGATCATGTAGGATGGCGATTCCTACATGGTGAGATAGGATAGTAACCTCATCCTTAGAATGAGGTGATTAAGGATGGCGATTCCTATATGGTGAGATAGGATAGTAACCTCATCCTTAGAATGAGGTCATTTAGGATGGCGATTCCTATATGGTGAGATAGGATAGTAACCTCATCCTTAGAATGAGGTCATGTAGGATGGCGATTCCGATATGGTGAGATAGGATAGTAACCTCATCCTTAGAATGAGGTCATGTAGGATGGCGATTCCTATATGGTGAGATAGGATAGTAACCTCATCCTTAGAATGAGGTCATGTAGGATGGCGATTCCGATATGGTGAGATAGGATAGTAACCTCATCCTTAGAATGAGGTCATGTAGGATGGCGATTCCTATATGGTGAGATAGGATAGTAACCTCATCCTTAGAATGAGGTCATGTAGGATGGCGATTCCGATATGGTGAGATAGGATAGTAACCTCATCCTTAGAATGAGGTCATGTAGGATGGCGATTCCTATATGGTGAGATAGGATAGTAACCTCATCCTTAGAATGAGGTCATGTAGGATGGCGATTCCGATATGGTGAGATAGGATAGTAACCTCATCCTTAGAATGAGGTCATGTAGGATGGCGATTCCTATATGGTGAGATAGGATAGTAACCTCATCCTTAGAATGAGGTCATGTAGGATGGCGATTCCGATATGGTGAGATAGGATAGTAACCTCATCCTTAGAATGAGGTCATGTAGGATGGCGATTCCTATATGGTGAGATAGGATAGTAACCTCATCCTTAGAATGAGGTCATGTAGGATGGCGATTCCGATATGGTGAGATAGGATAGTAACCTCATCCTTAGAATGAGGTCATGTAGGATGGCGATTCCTATATGGTGAGATAGGATAGTAACCTCATCCTTAGAATGAGGTCATGTAGGATGGCGATTCCGATATGGTGAGATAGGATAGTAACCTCATCCTTAGAATGAGGTCATGTAGGATGGCGATTCCTATATGGTGAGATAGGATAGTAACCTCATCCTTAGAATGAGGTCATGTAGGATGGCGATTCCGATATGGTGAGATAGGATAGTAACCTCATCCTTAGAATGAGGTCATGTAGGATGGCGATTCCTATATGGTGAGATAGGATAGTAACCTCATCCTTAGAATGAGGTCATGTAGGATGGCGATTCCGATATGGTGAGATAGGATAGTAACCTCATCCTTAGAATGAGGTCATGTAGGATGGCGATTCCTATATGGTGAGATAGGATAGTAACCTCATCCTTAGAATGAGGTCATGTAGGATGGCGATTCCGATATGGTGAGATAGGATAGTAACCTCATCCTTAGAATGAGGTCATGTAGGATGGCGATTCCTATATGGTGAGATAGGATAGTAACCTCATCCTTAGAATGAGGTCATGTAGGATGGCGATTCCGATATGGTGAGATAGGATAGTAACCTCATCCTTAGAATGA